ACAAATAATCCAGTCAAGAAATGGGCAGAAGACATGAACAGACATTTTTTCAAAGAACACATTCAAATGGCCAACAGACACATGAAAAAGTGCTCAACATCGCTCGGCATCAGGGAAATCCAAATCAAAACCTCAATGAGATACCACCTCACACCAGTCAGAATGGCTAAAATTAACAAGTCAGGAAACGACAGATGTTGGCGAGGATGCGGAGAAAGGGGAACACTGGTGGTGGGAACACTGGTGGTGGGAACACAGGCTGTTGCCAGCCACTCTGGAAAACAGTATGGAGGTTCCTCAAAAAGTTGAAAATAGAGCTACCGTACAACCCAGCAATTGCACTGCTGGGTATTTACTCCAAAGATACAAATGTAGTGATCCGAAGGGGTACGTGCACCCTGATGTTTATAGCAGCAATGTCCACAATAGCCAAACTGTGGAAAGACCCAAGATGTCCATCAACGAATGGATAAAGAAGATGTGGTGTGTACACACACACACGATGCAGCCATCAAAAAAACCCCGAAATCTTGCCATTTGCAACGACGTGGCTGGAACTAGAGGGTATTATGCTGAGTGAAATAAGTCAATCAGAGAAAGACAGTTGTCATATGATCTCACTTGTATATGGAATTTGAGAAACAAGACGGGATCATAGGTGAAGGGAGGCAAAAATGAAACAAGATGAAACCAGAGAGGGAGACAAACCATAAGAGACACTTAATCTCAGGAAACAAACTGAGGGTTGCTGGAGGGGTGGGGTGGGGAGGGATGGGGTGGCTGGGTGATGGACATTGGGGAGGTTATGTGCTATGGTGAGCGCTGTGAATTGTGTAAGACTGATGAATCACAGACCTGTACCCCTGAAACAAATAGTACATTATGTTATTTAAAAAAAACTGGTTTGACTGAGCTAGAATGAAGGGGGACTTCTAAGCCATAGTTACCTTTTCAGGAGGCAGAAGAATCATTAGCTAAATTTGTAAATTGAGGAATAAGTCTCACCCTGTTATGATTTTCATATTGGAAATTTTAAGGAATTACCTCTTAGTATCACACCCTCCCTGCCAAAGGAAATTCCTTTGTAGGAGATACATAGATTATAACTTCATTACAAATGCCAGATTTCCAAAGTTTAATAATAATGTTGGCTGCTCTTGTTTGCATTGGAGCATTTTTAAAATTTCAGAATTACAGTTTTGAATTGTAGGCCACATAATTATCTTGTATGTTTTTAAAATATCGCTGTCATTTTTCTGGTATGTAGGGAAATAAGGTAATAAAAAAGAACAGGAGCTTTGGAGCTTTGTGCTCAAATTTCAGCCTCATCACCCCCAAGGTGTATCAACCTGTGCCCATCACTTCAACTCTGATATACAGTTTTTCACCTGTAAAACAGTGAGATCTTCACAGTGTAGTTGTGAGGGTTATATTTGATAATATTTAGTATGGTGTTTGGTATAAAAAAGATAATCAACAAAGTTTGGGGTTTTTTTTACTGCTCTTCAGTAGAAATATGCTTTATCTTTACACTAAGTAAATGAAGTGTGTGATGAGAATTCTTTTAACAAATTATTCTCAAAAGGATTTCAGATCCTGATTAGTTACTTAGAACTTAGATTGGAAATTTTATGGTATGCACTTAATTTTCTTGACTTCTTTGGCTGGTATTCTCATTGGATTGAATAATGGATTCAAGCCTAGAAAGAATTAGATGATAATATCCTGTGATACCTATGATACCTAGTAAGATCTCTTCTTCCTCTTCTTCTTCTTTTTTTTTTTAAGATTTTATTTATTTGACAGAGAGAGACACAGCGAGAGAGGGAACACAAGCGGGGGAGTGGGAGAGGGAGAAGCAGGCTTCCCGCGGAACAGGGAGCCCGATGCGGGGCTCGATCCCAGGACCCTGGGATCATGACCTGAACCGAAGGCAGCCACTTAACGACTGAGCCACCCAGGCGCCCCTAGTAAGATCTCTTCTGTATAAATATACCCAGTTACGTATACCAGAGGAATCAGACTGAGTAAAAAATGCCCTTCTTACAAATTAAATTATATCTAATCTGTTCAGTCTTCCATGAAGGGACATTTCATATCCAAAATGCTCTATGTACATGAAATATTTTTATTGATACCCTTTGAGCAGGGTTATTTGGAGAAAGTTGCAAATGCTGGAGGCAACCTAGACACATGACAGGTAAATAAATATGCTTTGTTAAGTATGGAAAGATGAAGTGACAGCAGGGCAGATACTCTCATTTTGGATTTCATGTGATTATTTAGTGCTTCTTAACCAAGTTATTTGTATGATTCATGATATTTATGAAATGACTAGCTGGAGTGGGAGACATAGCCTTTAGCCATAAAGTTATATAAACTTAGTCTTTTAACTTTGATTTTTTTTTTTAACCTCACCTCATTTTTTCTCACTCCCTGCCTCAGCTCAATTGACAATTAAAAATTGTATATATTTAAGGTGTACAGTGTGGTATTTGGTAATCAGCTTTGACTTTAAATGGATGATCTTAACCTCATTAGTTACTTGGCTCCAATTCCATGAGTCACTGAAGCACATTGAACTATAATTTTCATGAACTGTTTTGAACCATCAGATTATTTTATTAAAATATCCATACAAATTTTAGGATTATTTGTTCCATTTCTTTGAAAAAAGTTGATGGTATTTTGATAGGGATATCCATTATTAACATTTTTAATGTAAATAGTACCACATTAAGTATAATAGGATAAGATATTAATAGTGAGCTAGTCTTCTATGCTTTTATTTATTTTTATTTTTTTATTTTTTGGCAGTCTTCTATGCTTTTAAACTAACATCCACTGAAAGGAAAAGGTTTTGGTGTAAAGGCCATTTTATGGTTATAAAAATTATCTTCCTCTGATTCTTTCTGAATAGCAGTATCTTTATGAGATGATACTTACCTCTACAGAACATTTTAAAATTGAAAATGTACCTTACTTATACTTTCCCACGTCTTCATGTTCTCTATACAGATTGAATATATCTGTGAATTCAGAAGGAATATATTAGTACAGCCTAATGGTTAAATAACTTTGACAAATGCCACAGTAAAAAAAGGACATTAAGAGAAAGGCTTTTCTTCACCTGAGTTTATCAATCTAATCTTCCTGTTTCAGGTTATTAATTTACTTTCATATTAAGGTTTACCTGGTATAGTGTTAGAAGATTAATGTAAGAAGGGATGAATGCTGTACCCTTTAGCTATCAATAAAGTAATTATCTTCATTAAAAAAATAGAATAATGCTAACTATTAGTGATCCTAGTATTCTGCTGAGTATTTCTCTTCTAACTTCAGAATATAGTTTATATTAGTTTAGTCCTGGTGAATAATTTTTTATTATCTATTTACATAGTATTTAAAAATTTTTAATAATGATTTTTATGTTTGTTATAATAACATGTAATTAAGTCTTGAAAATGGTCATGTATTTTAAGAAGCCAATACATAAGAGTGTAATTTTGATTAAGTTAGAGAAAAATTAAGCTGAACTTTGGCTATATAATGTGTTAGATACAGTCATTATAAACTGATGACTTGTATCATCTCCACTTAAAGGTGTATCCTTGCTTAATATATTTGAAAATATTCATAAAATCCATTTCATTATACTATAACTGTAAAAATTTTAATAGATGCTTATCAAACTGCTTCATTTCAGAATCAAGAAAAGCTAATTGAAATTTAGGAGGATTTAATTGGAAAGTTATTTCAAGTGACTTGATATTAATAATCTTAATAGAGTTAGTACTCCTGTCTTCTGATAGTTTTCACAAATTGTAATATTGTGTTGCCATAAAGATGAATTTTTTTTTAACTTTATTTTTCAGAAATTATCCTTAGGAAAAAAAACAAAGGAATCAAACTCTGTTACAAAACTCTTAATTAGTATCTTCACTTTTTTTTTTTTTTTTTTAATTTTAAGTAGGCTCCACACCCAAAGTGGGATGGGCTTGAACTCATGACCCCGAGATCAAGTCGCATGCTCTACTGACTGAGCAAGCCAGGCGCCCCAGTATCTTCACTTTTAAAAAGATGTAGTCCATACATCTAAAACTAATGATGTAATGTATGGTGATTAACATAACAATAAAAAATAAACATTCAATTAATCAGAAAAAATAAAATAAAAAAAATTAAAAGATGTAGTCCGTATCCTAACTCTGGGATATTCTAGTCTATGTATTCCAACAGTACAAACTTTATTATCTTGGATTCTGTTAACGAAGAATTATGAATAATTAAGATGTAAGCAGAAGTGAAGTTTTTTTGTGCACTGTTGGGGGAAGGAAGGGTTTGTTAAATAGATTAATTGGTCTGAAATTAATCTCCCACCAGGTCAACCCAGGAGACATAGACTGTCATCCTTCTTCCTCCCATCGTCAAGTGTTTGTGATAGAGAGAGGCAAACATATGTTATGGAAAATCTCTACATCAGTCAGGGTTGACATGGCTGTCATTTCTCCCAGGGAAAGGTGGGGGACTGTTCCTCACCTATTCATCTCATACTTCTTGACCTGATTACCAACCTTTAGTGAATTTGCACCAGTAAACAATTTTACTTTAAAATGAATAGAGCTTAATCAAAAAAACAGTTATTTAAATGATTATAAGGCAGGATTTTGTAGAAGAGGATTTAGTAACTTGAGGTTTATAATTACCCCTGTGAAGTCAAAACAGAAACTGCACTTAGAACTTCAATTCACTTAAACAAAAATGTATAGTACCATGTCTTCTGCATTGTTAGCACTCAAATGTTTTGGGAATCTTTGGTATTTGAAATGATCATAATGTCTTTTATAGATTTAAATTTAATCATTTTGTCTATTTTTGCCAATGAGGCATTTTCCCTATGCATAAGAGATGCACGAATATAGTTAGCAGAAATATAATTGTTAGCTTTAAATAAAATTCTGTCTAAAATCATAATATATCAGGAAATTGTTTTTGTACAGGTAAATGGTTGCAGTTTTGTGGTGAGAACAGAAAAACCTACAAATTTATTAAGGGTACAGTATTTAAAACTACTCACGATACTAATGTTTTATACTATTTAAAACCATCTGGCTTACTAACAGAGCTTTTTCCTGCATGTACTTCTTTCTGTGTGTGATTTCTAAATGCTTTTAATGTTTAACAAACCAAAATTAGCCACATTTTGTTATAAAAGTTCAATTGTGACAGATTTTGCGGTATCTTGTTTTTGCTTTTAAGGTGTATATCACAATAATAACAAAGTAGGTTGTCATTCCAGTAAACTCTCAGATGATAAGTGATATTTTAAAGTGGATTTTGCTATGGAATTCAGTGTTTAAGTCCCTCTTCCTGAGAAATGTTGTTAGTATGAATTATTAAAAATCTTGGATTGATTTAGGAAGAAGAATTTGGTGCTGATGATTCTTATTCTGAACATGGAGCACAGTACAATCAGACCCACCTAGAGATGATGGAAAATGAATTGGCTGGTAAACAGCATGAAATTGAAGAGCTGAACAGAGAACTAGAAGAAATGAGAGCCACCTACGGGACTGATGGACTGCAGCAGGTATGTTATGTGGCTTTTGTTTTGTTACTGAGACAAATATAGGAAATTTGAATGATAGTGTATGTACGGTCTTGAAAGATGAGGTTTTTAAATAGTAACTTAAGTCATCTCATCATATTTGTCCTTACACATATCGCAAACAACTTTGCTTAATCTTTTATGAGATAGCTAGGCAGAAATCACTTCTGGTGTTTTTGTAATCAGCCTGAGAGAAAATTATGGTGCAAACCACATCACAATATGATGACCTAAACTCATTAAAAATGTCAGCGAGTCCTTGTAAAAGTAAGCGCTTGTGGTTAGAATGACATCTGTTGTTTGTGGAAGTCAGTTATGAAAACAAGGTGAAAAAGGCCATTGATGAGGAGGACAGAATACATTTTAGTTTCGGCCTCTCCAGAAACAAGTGAGAATTGAATATGTCTGTGATGATGTTGCCTACGAATAGATTGGGGCATCCCTAAATATAAAGGCACTTGTCCTTCTGGAAGCAGATAAATGGAGAAGTTAAACCTAGTAATTTTTTTTAAGTTGATTTGGAAGTAAAGCCAATTTCTGCAAGCTAATCTTTCAGTTACAGACAAAAATGGTTAAGGTTACTTACAAATTATCATAATTCTGTCAGTGCATTTTAAATATTATATTTTTGAAGAATAGTTACCTATAGTAATAATCAGTTTTGTTTAAAAAATAAGTCTGGCACTTTTTATTTTCACTGATGTCTTTTAGTTACAAGAATTTGAAGCTGCCATTAAGCAAAGAGATGGCATCATAACCCAGCTCACTGCTAATTTACAACAAGCAAGGAGAGAAAAGGATGAGACAATGAGAGAATTCTTAGAGTTGACAGAACAAAGTCAAAAATTACAGATTCAGTTCCAACATGTAAGTATTACTAATAGAACAAAATTTATTAGATTTTTAGTAATGAATTTTTTTAAAGTGCTCTAATTTTCAGAACAAATTTAAGTTTGTTTAAAATCGATTTGCTTATTATGTATCATGTTGGAAATATGTGAATGCCTGTTGTTATGATAACCAAGAGTTTAACTCTTAGTTCTTGTGTGGTTCCTTGATGTATTTTCTCTGTACTTCTTCCTTGTCTATATATTGAAAGCCTGCAAAATCTTTTAAGTCTGATTGGGTGGATTTTTGCGGAAATTAACATGTAGTCACATCCTACCTTTTGCCAACTCTGCTATGATTTTATTTTAGTTTCTAAAATAGTAGCTAGACAGAATGTGTTCCATTTATCTTTAATCTGAGCCGTAAGAATCTAATGGTATTAAAGTTTCTGATGGCAAGTACAGAAAATAATTTAAAAGGGAGGAATTTAATATAAGAATACAGGCTTATCTTACAGAATTCAAGTGAAAATACAACCAGACTTCTGAAAGGGATAGAATCACAAACTGGAAAGTCATTTGGAATCCAGGAAGTACTGTCTTTTAGGCCCCGTCTCTTTCTGTATGTCTGCCTTAGTCTTAGCTATGTCACTAGATTTTCTCTGCTTTATGATGGGAAAAATAATCTTATTGGTTCGGCTTGGATAATGTGCCCACGATCATCTGATAAGCCATGGCAGCATGTTTACTGGAGTTTCAAGCCTATGAATCTAGCAGATTTCCCAGAGAGCAACTGTGGGCCGAGCAATACCCCAAAAATATCTCTTCCTTAGTGCAATCTCTTCAGAATTTAACTTGGAGGTTTCTTTCTGTTTTCAAGTTACAGGCTAGTGAAACTCTAAGAAACAGCACTCACAGTAACACAGCTGCAGATTTATTACAAGCAAAACAACAGATCCTCACTCATCAGCAACAGCTGGAAGAACAAGACCATTTATTAGAAGATTATCAAAAAAAGAAAGAAGACTTCAAAATGCAAATTAGTTTCTTGCAAGAGAAAATTAGAGCATATGAAATGGTATGTTTATTTTAAGGAAGTCAGCCAGTGTATAACAGCTTTATAATTGAAGTGTTTTATACAACTGTTTATCCTTTTTGTTATGTATATGAATTACAAAATTTCGTTTAAGAAAAGCTCTTTAAGTATGCAAAACAACTTCTTTCAAAAGCAATTGGGAGTCTCACAATAATAGTTTAAATGAATAAAAATTCATTACTGAGTTCCTTTGGTAGTGATCAGCCATGTTAAAGTGAGTTCTCAGGAGAATCTAAATTTGTAAACAAAATTTCCATTCTTTTTTTTTTTTTTTTTTCACCTAAAGGTATTTCTACTCATTTTAGCAGTGGTTATGAAATTCTGAAAATATTTCCATGACAAAATGAAATTTTATGGATTTTAATTAGAAAAAACTACAATAGAGTCTCTATTTATAGTAGTTATGTTTTATAAAGTTGCTTGGAACACTTACTTAACAATATATGCTCATGGGGAAAAAAAGGGAAATGTATATATTTCATATGTTTATATTTGTTTATATGTACATACATACATATATATGCATGTGTTTATATACATGCACACATATATCCTAGGGACTATATTTACATATATACATACATACACACATAACATATCTCATAGATTATAATCTTAAATCCTAAAAACAGCTCATCCTAGTAGATTATATTTTATTTTTCAAAAGAGAAAATGAGGTTTACAAGTGTTAAGTGACTTGCCTGAGCCTGCCCTACTGACACTTGTCAGAGTTGTGATTCAAACCCATATAGCTGGCCCAGAACCATATTTCTTGTGCTATACTGCACTGCCCCCTATTGTCTCCATCCTCTTCTCCATCCATGCTCTCCTAATGAGCGAAAACAAAGTCAAGTGTAGTTGCCTTGTTTGGTGTCAGCTTTGGAAGCATGCATATCCAGCAGCTCAAATTTTTTGCTGCTCTGTGCATTTCTGCAAATGACTGAGTATTGATTTTGGGGTTACAAATAAATTTTAGCAAGAAGATGGATTTGCAAGTAGGGAATCTGTGAATAATGAGGACAGACTGTACATATAATATGGTACTTTTTACAACTTAGTAAGTTCTTCTGCAAGAAGTTGAAAAATAACCAAGACAAGAATATTGTTTGGATAATAATAAAATTATTAGCTAGCATTTATTTTTGTTTACGTGGTGCCAGGCAATATTCAAAGCATCTTACACATATTAACTCATTGAATCATTGTAATAACCTTATGAGATGGAGATTTCTGCCATCACCCCCATTTTACAGATGAAGAGATCAAGCCAAAGCAAGGTGAGGTAAATTGCCTAATCACACAGGTAATAGTCGGCAGAACCAGGTTTCAAACCTAGGTAGTCTGATTCCAGAGACCATACTCTTATGAAAATAGGAAACAAACAAATTTAAGCTACTGAAATTATGAAACAGTATGCTTTACAACCAAGATAATTTAAAAATCATTAGATAGATGTTTACAGAACACCTATTTTGTACCAGGCCCTTGCAAAAGATAATGATGCCTAAAATGTGCCCTTTCTTCGCTCAACCTCATAGTTTAATAGGGCATGTACACAAGATAGCACAAAACAAGGGTAAGCGTAGGTGAAAAGTGTTTTGAGTAGTCTGGCTTCATAAGGGAAGTCAGACTACTCAAAAGCCTTTTTACCTAAAGCCTTCCAGAGTAGGCTTTAGGGGGAGATGATATTTGAGGCCAGTCTGTAAGTTGGGAATAATTTCTCTATAATTATATTTTGTTTTCTCAGCAGTAGGCATTATGTGTGGCACATTAGCAGCTAATCAATATTCATTTGGTAAATAAGCAAATATATTATGAATCTGAGCTGATAGATAGGAAAGGATATTTTCTTTTCTTGTTTTGTTTTGTTTTGTTTGTCACCATACAGTACATCATTAGTTTTTGATGTAGTGATCCATGATTCATTGTTTTCATAAAACACCCAGTGCTCCATGCAGTAGGTACCCTCCTTAATACCCATCACCGGGCTAACCCTTGCCCCCACCCCCCTCCCCTCTAGAACCCTCAGTTTGTTTTTCAGAGTCCATCGTCTCTCATGGTTTGTCTCCCCCTCCGACTTCCCCCCTTCATTTTTCCCTTCCTTCTCCTAATGTCCTCCATGCTATTCCTTATGTTCCACAAATAAGTGAAACCATATGATAATTGACTTTCTCTGCTTGACTTAGGAAAGGACATTTTAGATAGAGGTTGTAGTATATATAAAGATTCAGGCTGAAACATGTTAAAAAATGTCTAGGTAGCAAAAAATAGTTTAACCTAGAAATAGTTTTTGAAAGTGAGTCTTTACAGGAGGAAGTGTAAATAGTCTAGGCCTTAGTTAGAAGAGCCTTTAAGTTGGATTTTGTTGTATTTATTATATTCAGTAGGCAGTATTATTTGAAAGTATTTAAAATTTAAATAATTCATTTTCATGGGGGAATTACCTTTGTTTATTTGAATGTTAGCAGAATACTTGTTATCCTCAGTCTCTTCTTTGTTATATATATATATATATATATATATATATATATATATACACACACATAACATATCTCATAGATTATATCTTGATATATATATATATATATATATATAAACTTCTCTTTTTTTTTTTTTTTTTTACTTTGCATGAATCCCCCTGAGTAGTAGTTCCACAAGTGTCAGTAGGGCAGGCTCAGGCACAGCTGAGGGACTAGAGCATTAGGGTCATAGTTGAAACTGTCGTGGTTCCCTAGACACCTACACTTGATTCCAGCCTCATTCTTGTTGCCCCTAATCCTCAGAACTTCCCATGGTAGAATGGTCACAGGCAGGAAGTCTGTTACTCCCCGCTCCCTCAGGTCTGTTTCCAAAAATAGAGGGATTTTATCTTCGATCGCAGAGCTGTCTTTTGCAACACAAAATAAATGGTTTAAAACCGTATATTTTGAAATAAACAGTACTAAGAAAAATGAGCCATGAAATTGTATTATTTAAGAGTTGAATGAAGAATTGTTGTTTGCAGTTATATCACATGTTGGACAGTTTTGAATTAAGTGTTTTTATGAGGGTTCCTCCCCCCAATCGAAAATCAGGTAATAGAAGTATTACAGATTTTATAACAGTGTTAACATTTCAAGACTAATTACTTACTTAATAATTCAACTGAAGTTGACCTCTCCTGAACTAATTTTACTTTTTTATAGGTTCCAAATTCCTTATAGATACTTTCTAGTATTTAAATGTATTACATTTGTACATAGCACAGTGAGCATAAAACACATTAATATATTTATTTTCTTTTAGCTTCAAACATATTCCATGACAGAGAGAAGAAATACTACATTTATTTTACAGATGAAAACACTGAGATTTAAGAGATTAAACTGATTTAAATGTCATATCATAGTACAGAAATTAAAGTCAGAAGGCTTAGCACTTGGTAATAACTTATGGTGACATTGGATGGAATATGTGATACCAAGAAAAATGCTGATAGGATTTTGCTCAAGAGGCTTCACAGAATGACATTCATTACCTTAGTTAATTTATATAGTGCAGAATCTGGCCTTTGACTTGTAGGCTTAGAAGTCTGGTTTTTATCTTCTATCAACTGAGACTTGAGCTATCTCAGAGATAAGCTCAGATTTTTCAAGTTGAAGAGTCTAATGTTTAAACCTTGAATATAAGATTATTAATTTATAGTGAGAAATAATTATCACAGGGACCTGTATACTTGAAGTTCATTGGATTTTACTTTCTTTCCATGGGCAAATGAATTTGAAAAGCTAGATAATAATAATAGGAAGTTGTTTATTAGTGAGCGTGAGATCAAAAGATATTGGAGTCAAGTGTTCTGTAGCATTAGGCTATGATAACTTGATGTATCATCTCACAGTAGGAAAGTCATGCTTGTGAATTAAAATTCTTAAATTCTGTTTGCTACAACGCCTTACATTGCTTTGTACATTAGATATGGTTTTCCCAGAGGATCAGAATTTCAGTCTTAAGGTACCTTGGTTCTCTTCCCCAGACTCTGCTGAAATGAGTACTGCCAACCCTCAGGCTTTCCTTTCTCTAGGCTTTGACATTTTTTCTTTAGATATGTGAATACATTCATCCAAGGTGCCTTTAAGTCCTCTTAACCTGGAACTCCTATCTCAGTAAGGTGATTTTACTTACCTACTTATATTCTGTTCCACTCAGTGGATTGTACTTTCTTTGTACTTGGGACCTCAGCCCTGAACTATTTAGGCAACTAAATAACAGAGTCAAAACTTGGTTTCTAGGGCTTCTGCTTGACTCTGTTATGCTATAACACTCTTAAGAATGATTGTTGTGGGGCGCCTGGGTGGCTCAGTTGGTTAAGCAACTGCCTTCGGCTCAGGTCATGATCCTGGAGTCCCGGGATCGAGTCCCGCATTGGGCTCCCTGCTCGGCGGGGAGTCTGCTTCTCCCTCTGACCCTCCCCCCTCTCATGTGCTCTCTGTCTCTCTCATTCTCTCTGTCTCAGATAAATAAATAAAATCTTTAAAAAAAAAAAAAAAGAATGATTGTTGTTACAGATGTGCCTTGGCCTATGTCCTCGATTTAGGCTTACATACAGTTCCAAAATAGAGGCCCAAGTCAGAACTGGAAGAAAATATCTGTCCCGCTTTCAAATTTCTGTTCAAGCCCAAAGTCTAGGATCAAGTTGATGTGCCATAAATGGTATAGTTGTCTTGCATGTTGTTTGAGGTTTAGCCACTTATGCGTTGGATATTCCCAAATTTCTGATTTACTTAGCCACAGGAATGAAGTTAAGGCAGACCCATAGGAACCTGTTTTATTGTTTTAGTCTTTTCATAGCACTTGCCCATCTAACACCTTCAAGTCACTAGAACACATGGAAAGAATCTTGAGATGTATTTAAGACTTTCTTCTGGAATTATAAAGAGTACACAGTACTATAGCTGCAGAAAATACTAAGTTCTTAGAATGTTCACCAGTTATTAAGAAAAATGAAAATGTAATGGTCTAGACATTTTAATCCTACTAATTTTGAAATTAATATTTTTAACCATAGCCGTGTTAGAATTTCTTTCTTCCAAGAATACCAACACTGCTGTAATGTTTGCTCACAAATAGTGTTGGGTACACAAGTCTTGTCTCATTGACTTGGGAAAAATTAAGGGGCAAGCCTTGCAGTTACTTTTTGTAGAATTATGAACAAAACAAAACCAGACTTCTCTCAGTCTTTTGGTATTGAGTTTAAGCAGTCTAAGTTGCCAGGAACTAAAGATGCCATTTTTATGTATTTTCATTTTTTCTTTCTAAAGGAACAAGACAAAAAAGTAGAAAGCTCAAATAAAGAAATACGGGAAAAGGATACAATCATTGAAGAATTAAATACAAAAATAATAGAAGATGAAAGAAAAACTCTAGAGCTAATGGATAAAGTCACAGCTGCTGATAAATTACTAGAAGAATTACAAGAACAGGTTGTACAAAAGAACCAAGAGATTAAAAATATGAAATTAGAGCTGACTAATTCCAAGCAAAAAGAAAGACAGTGTTCTGAAGAAATAAAACAATTAATGGGGACAGTTGAGGAACTTCAGAAGAAAAATCATAAAGATAGCCAATTTGAAACTGATATTCTCCAAAGAATGGAACAAGAAACACAAAGAAAGTTAGAACAGCTCCGGGCAGAGCTGGATGAGATGTATGGGCAGCAGATAGTACAGATGAAACAGGAGTTAATAAAACAGCACATGTCACAGATAGATGAACTTAAAATACGACATAAGGGAGAAATGGAGAATGCTTTAAGATCATATCCAAGTATTACAGTTAATGATCAAATAACGTTAATGAATATGGCAATAAATGAACTGAATGTAAAATTGCAAGATACTAACTCTCAAAAAGAAAAACTCAAGGAAGAACTAGGAATAATTTCAGGAGAAAAGTCTGCTCTACAGAGACAGCTTGAAGACCTTTTTGAAGAATTGAGCTTTTCAAGGGAACAAATTCAGAGAGCTAGACAGACAATAGCTGAACAAGAAAGTAAACTCAGTGAAGCACACAAATCCCTTAGTACAGTGGAAGATTTGAAAGCTGAGATTGTTTCTGCATCTGAATCCAGAAAAGAACTAGAATTAAAACATGAGGCAGAAGTTACAAATTACAAGATAAAACTTGAAATGTTAGAAAGGGAAAAGAATGCTGTATTAGACAGAATGGCTGAATCGCAAGAAGCTGAATTAGAGAGGCTGAGGACACAGCTTCTGTTTAGTCATGAAGAAGAACTTTCCAAACTGAAAGAAGATTTAGAAATCGAACATCGAATAAATATTGAGAAACTAAAAGATAATTTAGGCATTCACTATAAACAGCAGATAGATGGCTTACAGAATGAAATGAGTCAAAAGATAGAAACCATGCAGTTTGAAAAAGACAGTTTGATAACTAAGCAGAATCAATTAATTTTGGAAATTTCAAAGCTAAAAGATTTACAGCAGTCCCTTGTGAATTCAAAATCAGAAGAAATGACTCTTCAAATCAATGAACTTCAAAAAGAAATTGAAATACTCAGGCAAGAAGAAAAGGAAAAGGGTACACTTGAACAAGAAGTTCAAGAATTACAACTTAAAACTGAATTATTGGAGAAACAAATAAAGGAAAAAGAGGATAACCTTCAAGAAAAATTTAAACAACTTGAAGCAGAGAATAGCACTCTTAAAGATGAAAAGAAAGCCCTTGAAGACATGTTGAAAAGGTATACGCCTGTTAACCAAGAAGAAAGATTAATTTTCATAGACTCCATTAAATCCAAATCCCAAGACTATAACTGGCAAAAAGAAATAGAAATACTTACAGAGGAAAACAAGGACCTCAAAAAACAATGTATTGAGCTAACTGAAGAGATTGAAAGGCAAAGGAACACTTTTTCATTTGCTGAAAAAAATTTTGAAGTTAACTATCAGGAGTTACAGGAGGACTATGCTTGCCTTCTCAAGGTAAAAACTGACTTAGAAGACAGCAAAAACAAACAAGAAGTAGAGTATAAAAGTAAGCTTAAAACACTTAGTGAAGAGCTTCATCATCTGCAAAGAATAAATCCAACTATGGTAAAAATGAAAGGTTCAGTCTTTGATGATGACAAAACTTTCATAGGGGAACCATTGGAAACCGGTGATGTTGTTGAGAAAGATACAACAGAACTTATGGAAAAACTTGAGGTAACCAAGCGAGAAAAGTTAGAACTGGCGGAGAGATTGTCTGATCTTTCTGAACAATTAAAACAGAAACATGGTGAGATTAGTTTTCTGAGTGAAGAAGTGAAGTCTTTAAAGCAAGAGAAAGAGCAAGTTTTATTGAGATGTAGAGAGCTAGAAATCATCATTAACCATAAACGGACAGAAAATGTAAATGTTTGTGATGCTCAGTTGGTCTCTTTAAAAGATGGTGGTGTGACTATGACAGGCAAGGATTCTGGAGAGTTAGTTTCTAAAATAAATAAAGATTTTGTTGAAGAATCAAAAATAATGGAGGAAGATAAAATTCCTTTTGAAAATAAGACTGTTGGAAAAGAAGGCAAGCAAGAACAGTTGTTTTTGGATCATTTGCCATTAGTGACAAATGGATCATCACTTGGGACAACTGAACCAAGTAGAAATGATAAACTTCAGTGGGAACTTAGTGTACTTAAATCAGAACAGGTATGTTTACTTACTTATATAGATGCTAAAGCATAGTGAAAATGTACAATTCATACAAAAAATGTTTTCATCTACCTAAAACACATAGAATGAAAATTGAACCCTATAATGTAATTCTCATTTGGGCCTATCAGCTGTCATTGCTTTTTTTTTTTTAATATGTTATTTATTTATTTGTCAGAGAGTACGAGTGAACACAAGCAGGGGGAGTGGCAGGCAGAGGGAGAAACAGGCTCCCTGCTGAGCAGGGAGCCCAATGCGAGACTCCATCCTAGGACCCCGGGATCATGACCTGAGCCAAAGGCAGACGCTTTGACAGAGCCACCCAGGCATCCCAGCTATCACTGCTTTTATCTATTTTTTCTTAGACACTGTTGCCTTTCTTTCAGTTAATTTATGTTATATATTCTGTTAAGGAAATAAAAACATAGGAATGGTTTCACTTTCTTTGGAAAGGCAAGAGTTTCAATAACTTTGTTGAGAATCTGAACTTTAAAAAAGTTACTTTGTAATATTTTGTTGTAATTTCAAAGCTTGGTTTCAGCATTTTGTTTTATATTGGCATTTTCCAAGTTCCACAACTAAAAATTAACACTTAAATTTTTCAGTACTTTATACTTACTTATTCAGTAGTTACAATGCTGTATTTCCTTGAAAAAAAAATCTCAACTTAAGTCCTAGAATTTTCTCAGAGTACTGTGTAAAGCTGAAGGGGTAAAAAGTATTAATTCTAACTATAACTAAAGAATGCATATAATGAGTTACAATAAATCATTCTTGACAATTTATATTTGTTGGATAGTGATATTAGAAATAACTGGAAAATTCCACTAGGTATCTTGTATAATGCTGCTAAGTAAAACTTTGTTTCTTAATTTATGCAACAGGTATTTATTGAATCTCTAGCCAGGTATAGGATTATACTAACAAGCAAGAGAGCAGGAATATATTCTAGTGAGGGAGGCAGAGAGTAGACAAGGGAACGAGTAGAGTAGTTAGAAGTAGTGATAAGTCCTATAAAGAAAATAAAACAGATAACATGATAGAGAATGATGGGTAGTGGTGGTGCCAGCATTCTATAGGATGATCAGGAAAGGTCTTTTGGAGGAATTGACATTTGAACTGAGATCTAAAAGACTAAGAGGGAGCCTACTACATGCAAATTAGAGCAATTGTGAAAACATAGGTGAGCTTGAGAAATTGAATGAAGGTGTGTTTAGTTGAGTTTGAAAGCAGGAGAGTGAAAGAAAAAGAGTTTGAACAAGAAAGAAGAGACAAGATCTTGGAGAGCCTTACAGACTTTGTAAGAAGTTGAGATTTTATTCTGTATACAGTAGGAAGCCTTTGGAAAAATGTTCTCTTTTTATTTCTAATAAATTCCGATCTTAGGATGAAGTTACATTACAATAAACCTATTGTAAAGTGAAATATCTTAAGTTGAAAATGAAGTTAATACACTTAACCTACTGAACATCGTAGCTTAACCTAGTAACATGCTCAGAACACTTACATTAGCCTATAGTTGGGCAAAATCATCTAACACAGAGCCTATTTTATAATAAAGTGTTAAGTATCTCGTGTAATTTATTGAATACTATACTGAAAGCAAAAAACAATGTTTGAATGGGAAGAATGGTTGTAAATTTATTATTTGTCATCCCCGTGGTCATGTGGCTGACTGGGGGCTGTGGCTTCTGCTGCTGCCCAGCATCATGAGAGAGTATCGTACCACATACGTAGCCCAGGAAAAGATGAAAATTAAAAATTTGAAGTATAGTTTCTACTGAGTATGTATCACCTTTACATTTAACACTGTAAAGTCAAAAAACCCTAAGTCAAACCACCATATATTGGGGACTGTCTGTATATTCACATTTATGATATTGTATCAAATGTAAAGATATTTTACATTTTAATAACCTACATAGAGTTTAAAAATTCAAATTGCGTAACTATTAATGTTTTGTTAAATATCTGAAATTGTCTTCAAAACCATAATGTGGTTTTAATTTAATTACTCCTAAAAATGCCAGAGATTGTTTAGATTTTTTAAAAAGACATTATTGACAGAGGACCTGAATTTGAAGCTGTCAAAATGGTCAGATTTTCTCAGTAAGAATTTTATTTTCTCCACTAAAGACATTTTCATTGACGTTCAGATGCCTTCTCCTTGACATTAATTTATATAAAGTAAAGGGAGGCAAACCTGTAAACAGTCCCTTCCCAGTTGTCACTACCAGGACAAACCCCCTTATCGGTGGAGAGGGGAGTAAATGTGTGTGTGTGTGTGTGTGTGTGTGTGTGTGTAGAGGGAAGCTCACAGAAGAAATCGAGTGATAATTTATACAGTAATAACATCTCAGAGCAATCTAAATATGCTTAGAGATAATGCTGATTCCCTAAAAAATACTTTGCTCTTAGGACCAACCTAATTGGCTGATGAAAATGGAAGGATACTTTCACCCTTATAAATTGATATAACAGTAAGGTAATACTTTATACCCATCAGATTGGCAAAATGAGTCCCACAATAAAAAGTGGGGAGATGAATACTCACATATGCTATTAATATCAATGTTTAGCACAATTATATAAAACATAATTTGGTAAAATTTAATACATTTAATGTATATTACCTATGACCCAGCAGCTATATTTCTAGTTGGTTCTCAGTATGGTCCCTGACTAGCAGTATCAGCAGCACTTGAAACCAGTGAAAATTCAAATTTGGGGACCCCACACCAGACTTCCTAAACCAGAAACTCTTCGGGAAGGGCCCAGCAGTCTGTTTTAATAAGCACTCCAGGTTATTCTGATGCCTGCTAAAGTTTGAGATCCACTGTACTAGGGAAACACTAGTGTATTTGAATAGGGACATATCTGTAAGAATTTAGTGCAGTATTTCTGAAATATCAAAAAATTAGAAATAATCCAGTTGATCTCCAAGAAGGAAGTTGACAAATTTTCATGTATTCATAGATACTATACCACAGTTAAAATAATCTGTATCTACATGGATAGATCTCAGAAGTATTTTGAATGAGAACAATTTGCAAAATAAATACCATTTTACACTATTTATGTAAATTCTTAGAAACATAAAATATAATGTACTGTTTATAGGTACTGAAAAGTGATAGTATAAGAAATGCAGTGGACTTGTTGCAAATTTGTGATAATGTTTGCCTCTGGGGAAGGAGGAATGGGAACATAGTGGATTAAATTTTATTTTCTTTCTAAACCAAACATGTATGTAGAGAGAAATGGAAAAAAAGAAGATAAAATAATTGTATTTGTTAAATTGGGGTATGAGTACATAAGTGTTTATTACATTATTCTTTGCATTTCTCTATATTTAAAATATTTTTATTTTTTTAATGGTACAATTTTATTATTTTTTTTAATTTTATTATGTTATGTTAATCACCATATATTACATCATTAGTTTTTTTGTTTTTGTTTTTTTAAAGATTTTATTTATTTATTTGACAGAGAAAGACACAGCAAGAGAGGGAACACAAGCAGGGGGAGTGGGAGAGGGAGAAGCAGGCCTCCTCCTGAGCAGGGAGCCCGATGCGGGGCTCGATCCCAGGACCCTGGGATCATGACCTGAGCCGAAGGCAGACGCTTAACGACTGAGCCACCCAGGCGCCCCACATCATTAGTTTTTGATGTAGTGTTCCATTATTCATTGTTTGCGTATAACACCCAGTGTTCCATTCAGTACGTGCCCTCTTTAATACCCATCACCAGGCTAACCCGTCCCCCCACCCTCCCTCCCCTCTAGAACCCTTAGTTTGTTTCTCAGAGTCCATAGTCTCTCACGGTTCGTCTCCCCCTCCAATTTCCCCCCCCTTCATTTTTCCCTTCCTACTTTTTTTTTTTTTTAACATATAATGTATTAGTTTCAGAGGTACAGGTCTGTGATTCTTCAGTCTTACCCAATTCACAGCGCTCACCATAGCATATACCCTCCCCAATGTCTATCACCTAGCGACCCATCCATCCTACCCCGCACCACTCCAGCAACCCTCAGCTTGTTTCCTGAGATTAAGAATTCCTCATATCAGTGAAATCATATGATACATGTCTTTCTCTGATTGACTTATTTCGCTCAGCATAATACCCTCCAGTTCCATCCACGTTGTTGCAAATGGCAAGATTTCATTCCTTTTGATGGCTGCATAATATTCCATTGTATATATATACCACATCTTTTTTATCCATTCATCTGTCGATGGACATCTTGGTTCTTTCCATAGTTTGGCTATTGTGGACATTGCTGCTATAAACATTGGGGTGCACATACCCCTGCGGATCCCTACCTTTGTATCTTTGGGGTAAATACCCAGTAGTGCAATTGCTGGGCTGTATGGTAGCTCTATTTACAACTTTTTGAGGAACCTCCATACTGTTTTCCAGAGTGGCTGCACCAGCTTGCATTCCCACCAACAGTGTAGGAGGGTTCCCCTTTCTCTGCATCCCCGCCAACATCTGTCGTTTCCTGACTTGTTAATTTTAGCCATTCTGACTGGTGTGAGGTGGTATCTCATTGAGGTTTTGATTTGGATTTCCCTGATGCCGGGTGACGTTGAGCACTTTTTCATGTGTCTGTTGGCCATTTGGATGTCTTCTCTGGAAAAATGTCTGTTCATGTCTTCTGCCCATTTCTTGACTGGATTATTTGTCCTTTGGGTGTTGAGTTTGATAAGTTCTTTATAGATTTTGGATACTAGCCCTTTATCTGATATGTCATTTGCAAATATCTTCTCCCATTCTGTCGCTTGTCTTTTGGTTTTGTTGACTGTTTCTTTTGCTGTGCAAAAGCTTTAAAAAAAAAAAAAAGACAATATAATTGTATTTGTTAAATTGGGGTATGAGTACGTAAGTGTTTATTACATTATTCTTTGCATTTCTCTATATTTAAAATATTTTTAAACGAAAATCACGGATGAGGCCACACTAAGCTATACCATATATCAAAATTTATCATAACGTTGAGGTAATAACAATATTGTGCTACTTTCCTTGGAAAAGATAGGTAGATCAGTGCAGTAGAATGAAGTGAGAAAAAAATTGGACTTCTCTTACAAGAAGTTTTAAACTATAATTTCATGTATTTTCCCCTTGTAGTCAGTATATGTAAAAAAAAGAAGTTAAATTATTTTAAAATTTTAAATCATTTAAAAATGTTCTAATGTGTACATACATTCACTTTAAGAATGATTTAAGGCTACAGATGGAAGCTCAGCGTATATGCCTCTCTCTGGTTTATTCAACACATGTGGATCAAGTTCGTGAATATATGGAAAATGAAAAAGATAAAGCTCTTTGTAGTCTTAAGGAGGAACTTATTTCTGCCCAAGAGGAAAAGATAAAGGAACTTCAGGAAATACACCAGCAAGAGCTACAGAATATAAAAACGCAAGAAACAGGTAAATGGTTTCTTTTTTTTTTTTTTTTAAAGATGTTATTTATTTATCTGAGAGAAAGCACAGAGGGAGAAGGAGGAGGAGAGAGCCTGATGCGGGGCTTGATCCCAGGACCCCAAGATTATGACCTGAGCCGAAGGTAGACGCTTAACTGACTGAGCCACCCAGGCACCCCTGGGTAAATGGTTTCTAAAAAAAATCGTAAGTACTATGAAACAAATAAGTATCACTTAGAGCCCACTCACCTTTCCATAATTTGTCCTTGTCTTACAACCCATAGAGGAAGGGAACTGTATACCCCAGTCCTGGATTCATTTGTTCATATAATCATTGCACATTTTTTTAAGTGCTTGAGAAATCTAAAATCACTGAATCATTTTCCCCCAGAAGTTACAATCAAGTGGGAAAGCAATAGGACAATTTCTGTAATAGAAGAATGACTAGAAAGAATGGAAGAAGAAAGGAGAAAAGTTTCATACTTTCTGGGAGGATGAGTGGGGTGAGGCCGCAGGCAGGGGTAGGGAGGTTGGGTAGGGAAGGCTCTGAGTCTTGAACATAGAAGTTTGAAAGATTGTATCCATTTTGGGCAATTGAGAGTTCAAGTTATGTGAGAAAGTAGTGGGGGATAAAGCTGGAAAGATTGGCAGGAGTTTGATCAGAAAGGGCTTTATATACTCTGACTGAAGCCTGTATAGGCCTTATGCTTTTGGTGATAAGACCTGTAGGATTTTAAGTAGTGGGAGTAACAGTAAAATTTTAAGGTAACACCATGGGGCAAAGTGGGGGAGGTGATTAGTGATGGGAAGACCAGTTAAGCAACTTCAGCAATAATTCTGCTAATAATAATATTTGTAACAGTTAAGTTTAAGAGGTAAAAGAGGTAGGCTGTAGTCTGCAGTTAATATGAGGAGGAAAGGGGCAAAATTGAAGGTGATCCCTAAGTTTCTAGCTTGGGTAATTGGATTGAAAATGACTGTAGTCACAAAGAGGATGCAGAGCAGATCTGTGGGAAAAATAATAAATTCAGTTTGGTACATTTTGAGTTAAAAGTACCTATTGACTTTATTAAAAGAGTTGTCTAGAAGGTAGTTAAAAATAGAAGTCCAAAACACAAGAGGGAGGTTTGGGCTCATGATAAAGATTTAGAAATCAAAAGGTCACTTGAGGCCAGAGAAAAGAATGAGATGTCCTGGGAGACTGCAGTGTGGGCCAAAAGACTAAGATGGCACTGTGGCAAGCAGGAACATATAAGGAACCTGAAATAGAAGACTAGTTGCAGTTAAATTTTATAATTATTTAATCACTCAATAAACTAGACTTCCTCTGTTCAAGGCATCTCTAGGCTTTTACCCGTGACAGATCTGTTTTTGAGACTGAGATTGTTATAAGTTTGTCCAATTGCTCTGTTAAACTGAGTAGAATTTAAAGAGTGACTTAAATCAGAATATCATACTTTTCACTAAAGGAGTTCTTTGGGTTTGAATGTAATAAGATGTTAAGTGTGTGTTGTTTTTATTGATATCCTCTTCAGATAGAATCTGTCCAGTGATTTTCAACTACAAGTTAATTGGTCTGCTAATGGTTGATGAAGTTAGTTAGTAATGACCAGCATTTTTTTAAATAAATAAAAGAGTATAGGAGAACAGAAAACAACAGAGTGTATAGCATGTAGAAAGGGCAGATAATGATTTGTGAAATTCTTGTTTCAGTTTACCATGGATGTATAAATAGGTTATGATGTATGATGTATTTCTTGTGTTGGGTAGTAATAAAAAAAAATTTGTAAGTCACTGCTTTATACCAGTTTGTAGGATATAAACAGAATTTTACAAATTATCTGAAACAGTTAACATTGAACAGTGGAAAATAACTTGGAAAGAAATAAAGAATTTAAAACTAATCTTATTGTAAAGGAAGCTTCCAGTTGATACAGGTTTAATATGATAATAGTACTTAAGTATACAAATTAAATGTTTAATGCGGTATCTGTTCTATTAGGTGGTGAAGCGAAGCCTTTACAAATGCTCATTGGAAAACTACACAAGGCAGTGTCTGAAGAATGTTCTTATTTTACACAGGTAAGATAGTGGTTAAAAAGTACTTTTAGACAAGAAATGCTATACTTCAGAACTGCACTTAGAAAATATTCCTGAATTTTTAAGTTTAAAATGAACATTTAAATGTTTCCTGATAATCTTTTGAAACAAAAGAAATTGAAGTAAATTATCTTAGCAGTAGAACAGACAAAAGGTATACCTAATACCAAAAAAAAAAGTGGACCAATAGAACCCCAGACAGGTCTGTTTCCTGCCCTTGCCCACTTACTGGTTAAGTGTATCTGATTACTAATTTGGGGAGGTTGCACAAGACCAGTGAGATACAATTTCACAGTTCAGATTGCCAAAATCTAAAAACCCTAATTATGCCAGGTATAATTATATTTGTGAAGATGGGGTGAAATAGAAGCTCTTATATACTGCTAGTGGGAAAGTACTACCTTGAGAAGCAGATTGGCAAGGTCTATTTTTGAAGTTATATACATCCCATAGCCCAAGCATTTGTGCACAACCAGATCTGTTCATTGCTGAAGTGTCTATAAGTTAAAAATGGGAAACAACTCAGATTACTATGAATAAAGGTAATAAATAAATTGTGTTACCTTCATGCAGTGGAACTCCATTTAGCAGTGTTTGATATCTGTATTAATATCAATAAATCTCAAAAGAAAAACATATATAGCATGTATGCTAGAGTAATTACCTTTGGGTGAGGAGAAAGGTGAAGAAAATGGGTAGGCAGTACTTAAAACAGAGCTTCAAATCTCTATGTAATGTTCAATTTCTGTAAAAAAACATGGAGATAATATGACAAAATATTACTATTTGTTTAAGGTAGGTAGTTATTTTTTCTGCATATTTGAAATAGTTCAAAATTTAAAATATATGCTTTGGCTTATCCCAGGCTTTTGTATTTATAAATTGAAGGGGGAAGAGGGTGGTATTAGTTGGGACAGGTAGAGCTACTTTACTGATTCTTTTTTTTTTTTCTTTTTAAGATTTTGTTTATTTATTTGAGAGTGAGAGAGAGACCAGGGGTGGGGGGGAGAGAGAGAGAATCTTGAGCAGACTGCACTGAGCAGGGCACCCAACCCAGGGCCCGATCTCATGACCCTGAGGTCATGACCTGAGCTGAAACCAACAGTTGGACACTTAACCAACTCAGCCACCCAGGTGCCCCTGATTCTGATTTCCCATAATATTGTTCAAAAAATGTTTTGCAAAAAACCTCAAAAAGTGAGATATAACCACACTTAAGGCCTCTCCTCATTCAGCTACTCAGCATTCTACACCTCCACCTCTGCCAAAGGGTTCAGGCATTGTCCTTTCATATCTATTGTTGATAGTCAGTAAATAATGGAAAGAGGGCCCAAGTCACAGTAGTTCATTTATAAGCTGACATTATATGTTCTTTCCTTTTGTTACTGTCTTTACCTGATCACTAATCTCAAGTTGAAATACGAATCAGCTTGTTCTTATAGAGGGGTCCTCTGGGATTCTTCATGAAACCTGGTTTTGTCACTAATTTTTGATGTTGCCAGAATCAGACATTTAACTGACTGAGCCACCCAGGTATCTCCATATATTATAATTTCTGTAGAATTTATAGACTACTTTCTAGTCACTTTTTTTTTTCCCCAAAGTAAGCTCTATGCCCAACATGGGGCTTGACCTCATGACCCCAAGATCAAGAATCACATGCTCTACCAGCTGAGCCAGCCAGGCGCCCTTATAGGGGTCATCATTTTTTAACTTCTGCCCTTGTTTTCTGATGTTTTTTCAAGGGTAGTTAACATTACAGAGATAACGTCAATCTAGGATCCAAGCTAGAAAATGGTAGATTAAAGTACAAGCTATATTCATTATTAGAAGCTGAAAAAATAGTTTTGTGCAATTAAGATTGTCAGTATTTTCCTGCTGTAAGAAGAATTTCATGTCCTATATAAAGAGAGGAAGATTTAGACTTGACTGTTTCTTTTGCAGACTGATAGGGTGCATGGAAGAGTGTTTTCTTACTGATTTTTCTCTGCCATTTTGACTGTCTTTTGCATTTAGGAAAATAATGTTTAATGGTTTTCAAAGGCAGACATCAACATTTTAATTCTGTAAAATATCTGATTTTGTTGTTAATAGACTTTTTGCAATGTCCTTGGTGAACATTATACTTCTGCTTTAAAATGTGAAGTAAATGTAGAAGAGAGAGAGAGTTCTGGTGTTCACACTTCTGAAAATCAAGAACTAGAATTGCAAGATTATAGATATGAAGTTCAAGGTAATAAAATCTGACCACATTATCTTCTTAAGTCATTTAATGATAAACTTTTACTTTAAATCATTATTCAATCACTTAATATCTTTTTGGATTCATGCAATCTTCTACTTAATACAGATTTTTATTTTTGTAATGCAGTAATTGTGATATAAAGAGAACCAAAGATGTCTGCAAGTTTCCTTGTCTCTTTATCCTTTATTCCTCTACTCCCGTGTTTTTTGTTGTTCATAATTCTGTCCTTAATTTTACACCATAGATCCAAAACTTTGAAAGTTATTGTATTTATTAAATACATTTGTCAGTGATTTTTTTTTAAAGAATAAGAAGACCTACATTATCTTTCTTAATAAGAATCCTGTATTAGTTTATTTTTACAAATTATGATCTCAATTAATTTTTTTAGAGGTAAAATGTCTTCTACCCCTGTCCATTTATATGAATAATGAACAAAATGTATACAAATTAATGAATACCAAAAGACATTAACATATTTTAATATGAAATCATCAAGTTATCTTTGTAGCAGGTCTTTTACATTAATGAGATTGAGCTTTTTGGTAACTAAATATATGAAATTTACTTTTAGTAGGCAGTTTTCTAAAGTTATGAATAGATAAATAATACTTATTGAAAGAAGCAGACTTTTACTATGAAATGAAATTATTATAATTGTTTATCATCTAGACTTGCAAGAAAATATGCAAACTCTTCTCAACAAAGTAACAGAAGAATACAACAAACTCTTGGTACTTCAAACACGATTAAGTAAGGTCTGTGAAATGGAAAATGTATTATGTTTTCATTTATTGTATTATGTGCTGTTTTGTAAGCTTCACCAGGAATTCTAAAATAAGTGAACATGATAAAGATGGGGGAAAAGTGACGTATTTATAGTATCAATGAGCTAAAGGAATTTCTGCAAGTTGAATATTTATTTACCTCTTTAGAGAGTTTTGGAAATCCTGATAAAATAAACATAAAATGTCAGATTGTAAACTTGGTGAAACAGTTGTATTTAATTTTACATTTAACAGTTTTTTTGTTTTTTTTTTTTTTTAAAGATTTTATTTATTTGACAGAGAGAGAGAGAGCACAAGCAGGGGGAGCAGTAGAGGGAGAGGGAGAAGCAGGCTCCCCGCCGAGCAGGGAGCCCGATGCAGGACTCGATCCCGGGACTCCAGGATCCTGACCTGAGCCGAAGGCAGCTGCTTAACCAGCTGAGCCACCCAGGGGCCCCTACATTTAACAGTTTTAAAGTAGTGGGTCTGTTTTAGAGAAAAATGGAATTAGTGTAGTTGTTTAGAACATAGCTAACGTGTTATATATGTCAAATTTCTTTCAAGTAGTTGTTTTAGAAATGTGTGCATATAAAACTCAGAGAGTATAGATGGCATAGTATGATTTATTAACTATATCAGGAAGATAAACAGCATATATTGGCAAAGATAAATGTTGTAATCTTCATGTTGTAGAAAAAAATCCAGAAGGATCTCTATGTCTATTTATTTGCAATACTTTTGATGTCATTATATTAAATTGGGTGGATTTAAAAGATTTAACTAATAGGGAGTGAAAGTTCTATCAGTGATGAGGGATGCTGTAGCTGAAATTCTTGTCTTTTTCTTTCTCTTCCCCTCCCTCTTTCTTACCTTCTGTCTTCCCCTATTTTTCCTTCCCCCTTTCCCTCGTTCCTTTTCTCTTTCTCTTCCTGTGCAAGTAAGCAAACTTTATCTTGCCTTTTCTAAAACTTATGAGCCTACCCCAGTATCTTACAGATGACTTTGTAGGAGGGAGGGTTAAAGAATCCTTCTTTAACTCTACATTTCCCTACAATAATTACTTTTCTATTTCCCTTCATAGCCAAAGTGTTGAACCCTATTCAGAATCATCATACCATTTCCTTACCAGGAATCTTAGCAGTTTGGATTTTTTGTTTTTCTGCTGCCCTCATCCTGCTTCCAGGGAACCTTTTTCTCTACTCATACTTGGGTTACTGAGGGCTGCTAAGAAAATTAGATGTGGATGTGGTTTAGTGACACCACGTAACCATGGTCTGACATTAGCTGGACCCTGTGGATCACTTGACAATTCTGGTCATTTATCCTCTCATAGTCCCTTCAGTATTTCCCAACTTCACAACTTCTCCTCAAGTCATATATTCTACTTCTACTCCCCTTTTTGTCTTTGCAGTTGGCCTTATCTCTTATTTCTCTGCAAGTATCAGAGCTATCAGTTATAAATTATCTCAGCCTGCTGCCTCTAGACCTTATGTATTTCTTTAAATCTGTGAATACCCTAATTTATTTTCCTTTTGTCTGAGAAGATGTTACTCCTTTTAATAACCAAGGTTATTTTATTTCCTGTGCTTTTGTTAGTATCCCCTTCTACCTCCTCTAAGATTGATAACCTGTCCCTTCCCTCTCTCCTGTGATTTCAGCTCCTTTGTCTCTGTTTTTTCTGTTTCTGTCCTTTCCCCTAACACATTCCTCACATCTCTCCTATTTAGAACATAACCAGTCTTCAATCCTGTATCTTCCTTTGTGGTCTGTTTCTCCTTCATTGTCATCTTCTTTCAAAGAAAGAATAAACTGAAGCCGGAACTTCCCATCTCTTCTCTCTCTTCTACCCATTGTAAGCAAGCTCTTGACTTACACTTCACTATGCTTTCTTTGGCAAAAGTCAGCGGGGATTTCCTTTTTTTTTTTCTCCCCAAGTTTTTACTTAAATTCAAGTTCATTAACAGCAGTGAATTCTTGTCAGATTTCCTTTCTGTTTTCTTACTTCCTTGTTTTCTTTCTTTTAAAAATGTTGCTTTTCCTATGTCAGTACACAGTTGAAGCTATTAAATAGTGTAGGAGGGCTTACAGTAAGTAATCCACAGTGACGGATTTGTGAGTGAGTGAGTGAGTGATTTGTCATTTTGCCTCTTTCCTTTTAGGATGGTGAGTGGGGAACAATTTGCTTTGATGAGACACACACCTCCCTTCCCCAGTGCCAGAATGTGGGAAGCTTAATCTGGAACACAAACACCTGCACTAACTTCTTTAGCTCTCCCCAGAAAAAAAAAAAGTGAAAAAGTGAATTCACCTTTTAACCCAGTAAGGTAGCTACAACCACAGAGGTATCCCCGAGGTTGGTTGGGATCACACTTGGCACTACCGTACATCACTGCCTAACCTCTTAGCCTCATCTTCCAATCCTCCTCCTCATTTTAGCCCTACTGAAATACTTAGAGTGTCCCAATGCACCCTGATCTTTCACACCCCTATTGCATGTTGTTTTTTCTGCTGAACAGTGTGCATCTACCTCCAGTCTGCTTGGTGTGTTCCTACTTGATCTAGTTGGTTCAAATGTTACTTCCTTTGTGTCCTCTTTACCTATCTTTCTAGACTTTGCCATTTCTTCCTCCATTTTCTTAGCATCTGTACAAGCCTATGCTTATTACACTTATCTTTTTCTGTTATTTTAAATATTCCATGACCCCCGTCTTTTTTCCCTGTTCCCATAGCTCCTTATACAAATTTGCATTTATTACTTTTCTTGTTATTATAATTATTTATTTACTCTTTTCCTAGCTTTTAAGCCTTTCAGAATGAGAGAGTCTTCTCTTTATTTTTATTTCCTCTTCTTAGCGTGGTGCTTGGTTATGCACATGGTAAAGGCTTAATAAATGTTTGCTGAATGAATTAAGTGAAGGAATAGAAAGGTTAGGCTGGAAAGTGAAGAATTTACCTGATGGGCTTTATTTTCTTTGGGAAGTAAGAGGCAAGGTCCTCTGTTGAAACGTACTCAGGCAGTTAGGCATGGGGTAGAGGACTTGATAAAAGTAATAACCAACTGAAATAGCCTTCATCAGAAATAGCTTTTATCCTGTTGCTCACCTGCTTTTTGTGGTATCTTTTGTTCATCTAGTATAGCAAGTCCAGACTCTCCTCTTGCTTTTTAAAGTGCTTTGTAGTCTAGATCTTTCTTATTTCTAGTTATCTTCCCCCATCCTTATCCAAATTAAACCCCTCTCAACAAGATCATTGTTTTCAGTAGTTATAGGATGGCTGTTCTTTCACAAATGCTTACTCTTTCTTCCTTACAGCTTTTCCTAATCATTGCCCAAAACGATCGAGGCCCAAGTCAAGTTTGACTTACTCTGTAATTACACACATCAGTCTTTCTGTTATTGCCCTTAAAGTAAATTATAGTTTAGTGCTTCTTGTTTTTTTTAAGAGACGGAGAGAGGGATGATGCAGGGGGTGAGGGGTACAGAGGGGGAGAGAGAGTCCCAAACAGGCTCCACATCCAGTGCGTAGCCTGACGTGGTGCTGGATTTCATGATCCTGAGATCATGACCTGAGCTGAAAATAAGAGTCCGACACTTAACCGACTGAGCCACCCAGGTGCCCCTCTAATTGTTTAATTTTATTTCCCCCGCTAGTTGATAAATTCTGTGAGGGCAGATACCGTATTTTTTTTAACTGATTTTTGTCTTAGTTTCCCTTGTCACAGTGCTAGTCGTGTAGTAGATGATTATTAAGTATCTGATGAATAACTAAATTAATACACATATGCATCTGGCAAATTGCTGCCTAATTTTAATAGTAAGGAAACAACTTGAGATTTATCTGTTTTCATTATTTTCCTTACTTTTGTGTAAAGAACAGCATACCAATTGTCAGTTTCCTGGAGGTACATAGGTTATAGCCAGAGATTCATAAAGTTATATTATCAATTTTTTGTTTTTTAAAGGAAGCTTGATTTTTTTTTTAATATTTTATTTAGGGGCGCCTGGGTGGCTCAGTTGGTTAAGCGACTGCCTTCGGCTCAGGTCATGATCCTGGAGTCCCGGGATCGAGTCCCGCATCGGGCTCCCTGCTCGTCAGGGAGTCTGCTTCTCCCTCTGGCCCTCCCCCCTCCCATGTGCTCTCTCTCATTCTCTCTGTCTCAAATAAATAAATAAAATCTTTAAATAAATAAATAAATAAATAAATAAATAAATAAATATTTTATTTATTATTGGACAGAGAGAGAGAAAGAGACAGCTAGAGAGGGAACACAAGCAGGGGGAGTGGGAGAGGGAGAAGCAGGCTCCCAGCCCAGCAGGGAGCCTGATGCGGGGGCTCAATCCCAGGACCCTGGGATCATGACCTGAGCCGAAGGCAGATGCTTAACGACTGAGCCACTCAGGCACCACTCAGGTGGAATACTTTATCAAGTATTGATAAACATAAAATTTACTGGGTATGAGTTGAAATTCCAAAGCCCAAGTCACATTATAAATATTATATGAGCTTTATACCAAAATTCTGTGCAGTTTCTGTTTTTCTATTAAAATGAACTTTCTGGGTATGACTGAACAATATACTTACTAATATAATTGCAGTGCTGTGAAGGGAATGTGAATCACTGTCAGAAGAAAGCAAAAAATAAGTTGGAAGGGAAAATATTTGTATCAGTGTGTTAGAATTCTGAGTGATTTTGAATGAAAACATTTACAGTGTAAAGCTGCTTTAATACAGTTTTCAAAATGCTGGATCATATATTTATGTCACTCCTTTTCTGTTATTTTCAATAGGTTCAGGGACAGCAGACAGATAATGTGAAACTTGAGTTTGCAGAAGGAAACCTACCAAAAGAGGAAACAGAGTTATCAGCCTCTCAGATGACCAATTTGCAAGACATTGGTAAATTTTGATTATCTACCATGGTGTAGTGTTTTTATATCAAATATTTGGTCTTTTGATTTTTTACTTTAAAATTTGAAACAACCTAGTGGTCTTGGGCATTTCACTATAATTCCTCTCATCTCAGTTTGCTCGTTCTCGTGTGGAAGGTTTGGACTACTCCTCTCTGACTCCTTTTCACTTGTTCTGTGAGTCGCAATTGTTTTCCGTTTAAAGACATGCTATTGGTACATTTAGGGGCACTACAGACGTGAAGATAGAAGAAATGATCTTGAGAGGCGCCTGGGTGGCTCAGTTGTTAAGCATCTGCCTTCGGCTCAGGTCATGTTCCCAGGGTCCTGGGATCAAGCCCCGCATCGGGCTCCTTGCTCTGCGGGGAGCCTGCTTTTCCCTCTCCCACTCCCCCTGCTTGTGTTCCCTCTCTTGCTGTGTCTCTCGCTGTCAAATAAATAAATAAAATCTTTAAAAAAAAAAAAAGAAAGAAGAAATGATCTTGAATTGCACTGTTCATTTTTTTTGTTTTCATCAGTCAAAATGAGTCTCAATTGAAACTTATTACTACTAAAAAAGCATTATTTTTTCAAAGAAGGATGAATAATCTCTGCACACACAAAAAAAGTGATTGTGCTATTTCAGTAAGAAATTTATGGGGTTTTATTTTGTTTGTTTTTTGGGTTTTTTTTTTTTTTTTAGATTTTATTTATTTATTTGACAGAAAGAGACAGTGAAAGAGGGAACACAAGCAGGGGGAGTGGGAGAGGGAGAAGCAGGCTCCCTGCAGAGCAGGGAGCTTGATGCAGGGCTCAGTCCCAGGACCCTGGGATCACTACCCGAGCTGAAGGCAGACACTTAACGACTGAGCCATCCAGGCGCCCCTCAGTAAGAAATTTGCCTTGAAATGTGTATTTTCTTCTCTTCCTATAACTTAGATGTCTGTCATGAAAGCAAGTTATCTCTGCAAGATTCTGAAAAAATTAAACAACTTGAAGGACAAGTTCAAGAATTAGAAAACCTCATATCCTCTTTGCAGCAACAATTGAAAGAAACTGAAGAAAACTATGGGGCAGAGATCCACTGTTTGCAGGAAAGGCTTCAAGCTGTCACTGTATCCACAGTTCAGCCAAGGTACCCATCCATTTACAGTTTCATTCAGCAGTATTTATAGCTTAGTAACAATCATAGCATGATTGTTTTTCAGTAGAAAATGTAACTTAAGCAAAGTTGCTTGAAAGAGACGGCATGCCGCATTATCAAGAAATAAGAACAGAAGATAATTCTTTGAAATGTCTGAAGTAAATGCTGTTATAAACCAAAGACATTCTATTATAGAGATTTTACTTACACCTTTATTTTATAAAGATTCTGGTTGTTGTTAATCTGTTGGATTAAATCAGAGAGTGTGCATGTATTTGTTACTTATCACATGCCTGGTCTTTACTACTTGATGTGGGGCATACCCAAGAAATATAAGATATGATCATTTCAGTCATGGCTGGACTTTCTCCACCTAGTTGTCTAATACTCAGATTCACTGTGTCCAAAATAGAACTCCGGATCTTTCCCTGGAAATTTGCTCCTTCTGCAGCCATCTCCATCTGAGGTGACTCTTCTTTCTCTCCTACTTCACTTCCAGTCTATCAAGAAATCCTGTTATCTCTGCCTCCAAAATACATCTAAACTGGACCACTTCTCACTAGCCCCCTGCCCATCATCTCTCACCTGGGTTACTACAACTGATCTCCCTGTTTCTACCCTCTTTCCTAAAGTCTGTTCTCAACTCATTTCCACAACTTTGCTTTTAAAATTTTTAAATTTGCTTTTAAAATTTAAGACTGATCATGTTAGTCCAGTGCTCTTCTGTCCTAACAATGCCTTACTCAGTCCTTCATGATGGTTCCTTGTTATCACTTGGACTTTATCTCCCACTGACTTGCCTGTCATTATTCTCACACCACACATTCTCCTTGAGATCTTCAGACCATCAGAATCCTCCTGCTTCAGAGACTTTTCATTATCGTTTCTTCTACCTAGAATGCTCTTTCTCCAGATATTTACATGCCCAGCATGCTTTGGGTCTTTATGCAGATATCATGTTCTCATGAGGCCTATACTGATCACCCAATTTAAATTAAAATTGTTCTTTAGAACTCTGTACACTAATTTCCTGCTTCATTTTTTTTCTGTATTACTTAATAGTGTCTGTTTTACATATGTAAAGCTGTATATGTATAAAATAAAAAAAAAGTCTATATATATTTGTAGGGGACTTTGTTTTGTTTGCTTTATTGTCTGCCTTTTATGAAAGACTTAAAGCTTGGTAATGGTGGGGATTTTTGTCCATCTGAGTCATTGATGTATCCCACACCTTGTAATAATTCCTTCTGCATGGTAGGTGCTCAATAAATGTTTGTTAAATGAATAAGAGAACAGCTCATAACTTAGGAAGTATGCTTTAATATTTAAACTACCTCTATAAAATGTTCAGAGATTTAATCTAACTTTGGCTGGCTCTGCTGTTCTAGGATTGATATCTTCATAGGCACTTATTAATGGAACCTCAAGCCAAAAAAAGATTTTTTTCCTTTGAGACAAAATACTAAATGTCCACACTTCTTTGGTATTAGTTTGTTTCCCCTTCTTTTATTCGGAGTCTGTATGTAGGCTTTGGAATTATTCACCCAGCCTTGGCACAGACTTACAAAGCTTTCATCTTATTTGAGATTAGTGGCTCTTAAACTTGGCCATGCATCAGAAACACCAGAGGTTTCTGAATACTTAAAATTAGATTACTGGATTATACATTTGGAGAGTCAGACTCAGTAGCTTTGGGATGGACCCTGGACATTTGTATTTGTAACAAGATAATTCTGTTGCAGATAGTTTATGGACTGACATTTAGAAACTACTACTTTGGGTTTTCTGATATGAAAGAAAATAAGTAGATAGCAGGAAGTCTCTAATAATCAGCTTTCTCTCTAAAGCATGAAGAAAAGGGAGTTTTCTGGAAATGGAGACTTATTTGGCAATTATTGCATTTGAGCTTTTGTCACCTTACCACCCTCTCTCAGAGTTTCTGTAATGTCAGTGGAAGTGTGTTGACAGTACCTTTCCACTAAGACCATTAGTTTTCTACCCCCCCCCAAAAAAGAGGTTTACTGACCCATGTTCACTCCTACTAATAGTGATGAATCAAAGTTATTTCTTGTAAACGCCATCACATTTTTGGATACAATTATGATACTTTTTGAATAAAGAATATGTGAATAAAGAGTTTTCTGTTCTTCTAAGATAGATTTGAGCTAGTTTAAAAAATAATTGAGTCATTCATTTAACATATATTTGGAGCTGGTATACTAAAAGCCTTTTAAAGGTCTCTTAGAGCCTCTTGGAATGACTGTTGGCTTAAGAGTCAGATCTGCATTTGACACCTGATTTAACCTTTTACTGGCTATATGATCTTGGGCAGATTATTTTAACATATCTAAGTAATATTAGGAACAATAAAAGTACTATCAAGATTGTGAGGAATAAATGAAATAGTGACAGAAATAAGCCTTGGCTAGATGTCATGGAGGAAGCTTTAGATCTATATAAAGTGGCCTTTTCCCTCAAGGGACTTCTAATCATTGAAATAGTACTTACTACAAAATAATTTTTAAGAAGTAGTAGGTTAAGGAACATAACATAGTGATAGAACCGAAGTGCTGGAATTTAAACCCATGTCTGTGTGGCATCTTTAACTGCACATTTTTGTAGTAATTGCCTATTGGAGTGGTTCCAGGGGAAATGGAAATGAAGGGATGAATATCAGATATTGGGATAGAAGGAATGTTGAGAACAAAGTGAAGGGGAAAAACAAAGATGACCCTGTGTTGTTTGAGCTAGAGAATATGGAGAATAATGGTATGTTAATATAAATAGAGAAGTAAGGCCAGTGGGGAGTAGGACCTTAATTATAAGAGGGGAGCAGTGAGTTTGGTTTTAGCCAGATTATTTTTTGAATTTGGGATAAACAGTTCCAAATTCTGTAAAGCTATAGAATGGAGTCATTGTGGACTAAGTACCATTTTTTATTAGATTTGGGTCTTAACAGCTGGATAAATAATTAGGAAGGCTTTCTAAGCTATGAAAAAAAGAATCAAAACATGGAACCAAGGATCAGAAGAGTGTATGCAAGAAGCAGTGAGGAAACAGACAAAATTGTGAGACAGAAGAACCAGGAAAGGGCAGAGAAGAAACAAAAGGGAGATAAGTTTTTACAATCATTTTAACATGAACCTAGAACACAAATAGGCAGTTCACAGGAGAAGAAACATACATGGGAGTAAAATTAATGTAACTTTTTGGAATATGGCATTATGTTAAAATTTTAAATATTAAGCCTAACATTTATAAGATTTATCATCATAGAGAAAATCCACAAATGTGTGCAAGAAATATTTATGAGGATTTATATTATAGCATTATTTGTAATAGTGAACATTTGGAAACAACCAAATGTCTGTCAGTAGGGGGTTAATTATGCAAGTTATTAAATGGGTTGATGATAACTTGTATCTGGCCAATTTGGGACAGAATGAAAGAAGAGGATAGAAGAGAGAAAGGAGGAGCTGGGCAAGAGGGGGTGGAATAAAGGCAGCATGGGTGCACATGAAAATAGAAGTGAAAAATTGTATTAGCCAGAAAAAATTATAATTTGCCCCTTTATTCTTTTTCCCATGGTTGCTAAATATTAATCTTACCATGTTTTTATGACCCAAGTTAAGCATTCTAAGAAAACTTTTTTTCAAAAAATAATACTTGTAAAACAATACAGAATAAAGACACGAATACCAAAAGACAAATGAATAGATTAAAAACAAAATCTGGAAGTGACTGTATAAATTAAGAATCTTCCTTTTCTTGCCTCTGCTCCCCAGTTCCGCTAGAGGTAATCATTGTTACTTTTGACATACATTCATCCAGAGTTTTTTCTGTGTCTGTATATAAATAATTTTTTAATAAAAATGAGATTTTACAGACTTCTACTCAGTAATACCATAGATATTTTAAAAATGTCTGTACCTGTAAATAGCTCTACATCATATATTTGTAATACACTTTATAAAATGGCATAAAATTCAATGGTGATCTGTTGAAATATTCTCTCATTCAATTGTGTTAGTTTAGTTTTAAATGGAAAAATTTAGTCAAAAATACGATTTAAGTCACAATACCTGTAACTCTTGATCTGTCATCTTTGTTGCCCCTGCCCTAATACACATTTTATGCATGCTGTAAATTTGGATTAACAGTAAAACTCACAACTCTAATTCCTTCACTCTCTTTTATTTATGTTTAGTTTCTCCATTGATTCAATGGTAATTACTGAATCTGATGTCCGGAAAACAATATATCCTGGAAGTTGTCTAAACCAGAACATTGATGGTACAATAGAGGTATTATATCTTTAAACTGTTGTGTGCACTGATTTTATTTTTCTTACTGTCATTTTTATGTCTATAGTATTCAATTAATAGCTGCTGAGAGATAAGCATAATAAGAGGATAATACCTTATATAAAAGACCCAGAAGAACATATAAAGAAATTTAATGTATTTTCATAGCATAGGACTAACACAGTTAAAATTGAGAGGTTTTTTTTCCCCCTAAGTATGTTCTAATTTTAAAATGTGTCTTGTTTTGTATAACATTAGCTGTGTAACAAATTAGTTTCAGTGCCCTTGCCAACAACTTTTCTTGCCACCATAGGAAGTTGAGCCAGACCACCTCTAGAATAGTATTTAGGAATCCTCAAAATTCAAGATGCTATGGCTGGGACAATAGACAAGGCCTCCTTCAGCACAGGCCATCTGATATATAAAAGCCCCTCATCTTTTACAGTATGGGCCCGCTGGCTAAGCCACATTCTGCGGGTCCTCAACATTGTATATACTCCCAGTTCATGGACACTTTTCTGAAACTTACAACTACAAAACCCTGATCTTAATTCAGTAGATTTTTAATTTCTTAACTCCTATAGAAAACAAAGATCATTGCTTTCTCTTGTTTTGGATACAGAGGAGAGATGTTGGCCATGTATCTTGATTCTTCTACACTCATCCTATATGGAATATTCAGATAATTGGTAAACAATGAAATGCTTAGATGCTGAGAATATGTTTACATTTTTTAAAACTTTATGGTTTTTTCTAGTTATAAAGGTAATTTGTATTTGTAGAAAATTGGATAGTATTAAAAGATATTAAGAGGAAGATAAAATTTGCTTATAATTTCATAAGCAAAGATAGCCACTGTTAACATTCTTAAAATTAGATACTTAATTATATTTAAGAAGTGTCTTTATCACACCATAGAACTATATTAGTAATTAAAATATGTAAATATATTTCTCACTTAGCATCATTAAGTTCAGTGTAGTAAGTACATTATTTAGTAGAATTATACACTAGAATTATTCACGAGAATTATTGTTTTTAATTAAGAGCAGAACCAAAACTTGTTAAAACTTCTCAGAAGTTTTCTAAGAAACATTGATCTTTTGAGGATATTTGAGGGTAGAAGTTTAAAAATAAGTGGTGTATAATTAGTATAAACAAGTATGTTATATTTTGCTTTTTAATTTAGTTTTCTGGTGACTTTGGAGTGAAACAGGAAACAAATATGGTTAAGTTGCTGGAAAAACAATACCAAGAACGATTAGAAGAAGAAGTAGCTAAGGTAAGTTTATAGTTTGTTAGGTTATTATGGTTTATATTCCCTTCAAGCCTTCAAAAAACATAGATTTTATTGATAGTGCACTTTTTTTTTTTTAACTGTTTTAGTAGTTTCTGTATCCAACATGGGGCTTGAACTCCTGACCCCAAGATCAAGAGTCAAATGCTCCACTGACTGAGCCACCCAGGCACCCCTGCACTTTCTTTTTTAAAAGTTTTATTACATAGGGGCGCCTGGGTGGCTCAGTCGTTAAGCGTCTGCCTTCGGCTCAGGTCATGATCCCAGGGTCCTGGGATCGAGCCCCGCATCGGGCTCTCTGCTCCATGGGGAGCCTGCTTCTCCCTCTCCCACGCCCCCTGCTTGTGTTCCCTCCCTCGCTGTCTCTCTCTCTGTCAAATAAATAAATAAAATCTTTAAAAAAATAAATAAATAAAAGTTTTATTACATAGCTTATCTTTAAATTGTCAGTTACTGGTATCAATCCCAGTTGCCTTTAAGCGGAATGTTCTGTGAACTTTTCTTTACGATAAACATTTTTCTTGATATGGAAGAGTAATTGGAAACTTTTCAGGGATGCCTGGGTGGCTCAGTCGGTTAAGTGTCTGCCTTCAGCTTAGGTCATGATCCCAGGGTCCTGGGGAGAAGTCCCACATTGGGTTCCCTGCTCAGTGGGGAGTCTGCTTCTCTCTCTCCCTCTGCCCCTCCCATGCTTGTGAGCACTTGTGCGCTCTCTCTCTTTCTCGCACTCTCTCAAACAAATAAAATCTTTAAAAAAAAAAAAAAAGAAGAAACTTTTCAGAATGCCATAACAAGTCTTTATAAATTTGTTACCTTGTGAGTAGTACCTTGTAATGGAGTTTGGCCTCCCTTAAAGGTGGGGAATATGGTAGGAAATGAGATAGAAGGTGGTTAGTCTTTTATATATTCTCTTTGTCTATCTCTTCCCAGAGAAGTCACTGTGATGTTAACTATAGATACTCTTAGCTGCTATGCCTAGAGATATTTTTTTAAACACTCTCTTTCTCTCTCTCAAATAAATAAATAATCTTTAAAAAATGCATATACCTGGGGTGCCTGGGTGGCTCAGTCGGTTAAGTGACTGCCTTCGGTTCAGGTCATGATCCCAGAGTCCCGGGATCGAGTCCCGCATCGGGCTCCTGGCTCGGCGGGGAGCCTGCTTCTCCCTCTGACCCTATCCCCTCTCATGCTGTTTCTCTCTCTCTCTCTCAAATAAGTAAATAAAATCTTTAAAAAAAAAAATGCATATACCTGATTGGGTTCTTATATTGGAACAGTTGAATTCTGATTTTCTCTGCTTTTTTATAATATTTCAACTGTTCCAGTGTAACAATCCCAGTGGATATGTGCACTTTAAAGGAGGAGAATTGATAAGGTATACAGGATATACATAAGGAATTAGGTTAAACATAAATTAGGAGAGGAAGTCAAGACCCAAGGAAATATACGAGCCGTAGAACTTAATCACTTCTGTATTTATATTGAATGTTTGGTTCCTAGAGAACGAAGTAAAAAGTGAGGCACCATTGCTTATATAGCTCTCATTATCTGGTTCTTTAGAGAAATGCAGATTTTCTCTTGCACTTAGCTCTTACAAAAATTTCTCAAGTGAAATGTGATAGCAGGGCATCATAGCAATTAAGAGCATGCGGTTTGGTGTAGGATATACCATGCTTTAAATTTGTGTTCTTCTGGCTTACTAGATTTATGATCTTAGGAAAGTTACTTAACTTCTGAGTCAATTTTCTCTGTGTGAAAAGAGGGAAAAGATAGGAATAAGTGATTTTTATAAGGATTCAGTGAACTAATCTAACATAAACCACCTAGCAGATAATAAAGACTCATAAATGAAATTTTTAAAGTAGTCATTACTGTGATAATGGTGATGTTATAAATATTTTTTTTTTTTAAGATTTTATTTATTCGAGACAGAGAGAGAGAAAGGATGAGCAGGAGGAAAGGGAGAGGGAGAAGCAGACTCCCCACTGAGCCAGGATCCCAATGGGGGGCTCAATCCCAGGACCCAGAGATCATGACCTGAGCTGAAGGCAGATGCTTAACCATCTGAGCCACCCAGGCGCCCCATAAATATGTTTTGTAAGGCATCAGTCATCTAAGCAGATAGCAGAGCACCAAAGTGTGTCGGTCATTGAAAACTGTTCCAAAGACATCCAAGGTACTGTGGTCCAAGAGACAACGTTTGGTGGCCCAGCTTGATCCTTAGAATAATGTAGATTGTTGACATTAACTACCAGTACTGATAGGATTAAGCTCTACCCTATACTCACTCTCAGATAGGATGTTGGAAAAAGATTGAGAACCCTTGTTTCAAAAGCACAGGGTGTATAGAAGAAGCCCAGTTAGGAGTACTGATTCCCAATATAGATCATATTAGATTCAACCTGTGATTTGTGTGCTTACTACTGAAAATAGACATTTATTTACGTTTCATTGCCAGACAGTATTCTAAGTATTAGGGTATAGCAGAGGTAAAAAGAGATGAAGTGTTTGCTCCCATACACTTTATATTCTAGGTTGTGCAGATAGACCCCGTATAGATGGTGTTAAGTACTGTAAAAAGAAAACAAACCTGGGTAATAGAACTGTAAAAAGAAAACAAACCTGGGTAATAGAACTGTTAGGAAATTCCATGCTGTTACTTGTATAAGGTTCTCACAGAAGACCTCTTAAAGTGGTAAAAGAAGAACCCTGAAGGAAGTGAGAGAGTAAATCATGAAGGTACCTGGTTGAGTACCTTTTGAGAAAGTGGAATGCGAGAGAGAAAGTCAGTCTAATGAATGTTTCAAAGAGGTGGCCAGGAAGAATTGGTAGGAGTGTGAAGACTGCTTGCCCAGCTTCCAGCTCTGCTGAGTTAGAAGACGATTTGATTCAGTCCTGCCACCCCCACAGTCAGGGGACCCATTTGGTGAAATATTGTGAAATCCTGGCACAGATTTACCTTCTCAGCAGATGTAACTGGATACAGGAGGAAGAAATAAAAAGGAAAAGGGCGCCTGGGTGGCTCAGTTGGTTAAGCGACTGCCTTCGGCTCAGGTCATGATCCTGGAGTCCCGGGATCGAGTCCCGCATCGGGCTCTCTGCTCGGCAGGGAGTCTGCTTCTCCCTCTGACCCTCTTCCCTCTCATGCTCTCTGTCTCTCATTCTCTCTCTCTCAAATAAATAAATAAAATCTTTAAAAGATAAATAAATAAAAAGGAAAAAGGGCAAGGGCTTGCCCTTCAGGAGAAGATATTACTCTAGGTTATTTGACATAAGCAAATGGAAGAATGGGTTGCTATTAGTGTCAGAAAAGACTGCAAACGAGTAGTTTTTGGAGAGGAGAGGTAGACCTTCAACATAAGGATCCAGACCCATTAAATGCAAACACTTCATAAATGTTTAAAAATAAATATTGAGGAAGTGGTTAGATATATAGAGAGTTCAGGAAATAGGATAAGACTAGACATGAAAATATGGTGGCCTGTAGGGCAGTGTTTTTCAAACTGAGTTGTAACTCATCTTTAAGTTGTAAAATCAATTTATTGGTTTAGGTCCAGGATTTTAACATAATAACGTAATGGGAAGTTCAGTTATATGAATATACACACATATAGGGGTGCCTGGCTGGCTCAGTTGGGAAAGCGGGTGACTCTTAATCTCTGGGTTGGGAGTTCAAGCCCCATGTTGGGTGTGGAGCTACTTAAAATTTAATAACAACAACAATAATAATAAACACATGGATACCTCTGTACACTTTGGGTCACAATATAAAATATTTTTTTATTGTTGTGTGTGTATGTGTTTGCCGTGGTTGCAGTGAAAAAATTTGAAAAACACTAATGTAGTGACTGTAGATAGAGCAGAGGTCTGGGGGCTAAGCCTGGATAATGCCAGTGTTTAGAGATCAGAGAAATGAGGAAGAACAAAGAAGATGGAGAAAAAGCAGTAAGTTAAATATGGGAAGAACAAAAGACTGCATCACAGTAGCCAAGTAATAAAAGTGTATCAAGAACACAATGTATTAAACTGTGTCAGAGGTTTCTGATCCATCAAGAATGATTAGAACTGCAAATTTATTATTGGATTTTACAATGTGAAATCATGGGTGACTTTCACAAGAACACATTTGATGAGGGTGATGCAGACAAACTGATTGGATTTGAGAGAGTGCAGGGGAAGAATGAAGAGATGAATTAGTTTTACTTGAAAGGGGAGCAGAGAAATAGAGTGGTAGCTCAGGAATAATGGAGTCAAGCAGTAGGTTTTTGTTGTTGCTGTTTTGTTTCTGTTTAAGAAGAAAAATATCATATTTCTTTGTTAATAGAGATGATTAAGGAGAGAAGGAAAAAAAAATAGCTAATTCAGGAGAGAGAGAAACAGTTGTTGGAGCAGTGTCCTTGAGGAGCGGAGAGGAGATGCAACCAGGAGGGTTGCCGTTAGATGGCATGGCAGTTTAATCCATAATAACAAGAAGGAAGGCAGAGAATATTTGGTTCATGATTCAGGATGTTTTCAGATGTGATATTTGGACCTTGGGAGTTCTCTTTTGGTTGCTTCTATTTTCTCACTAAACTAAGAAGAAAGGTCAGTACCTGAGAATGAGAAAGGAAGAGAAGACATTGAAGCTTTAAGGAGAAAGGGCTGTCTAGGAGAAGGAATAAAAAATGGAAAAGACCAGGGAAATTGAGATTTGCCCGGTATCCTGAAGGGCTCATGCAAGGGTAATAGTTACAAATTTAAAATAAGACCATTCAGCTTGGTTGGATTTTTTTTTTTCTTTTCAGCTAAGCTCAGTTTACACAGGCAGAGTGTCCACAGAGTCACCTGTAATCACAGGTGGGATTTGTTAGATAGGATAGTGAAATGGGAAGGAGAGAATAACAAGGTAGTTGAGTCTTTAGTTGAGTTTTTTAGTTTCCAGACCTTTTAATTTAATTTTAATTATTTGTTTCTTTTAATTGTTACTCATTTCTAGTCTAAAGAAAGTGATCTTCATGATACAAATTTTTCAGAATTTCAAAAGCTTCCTTTATGACCTAACATATGGTCAGATTTTTATTGTTATTATCATCTTTACTGAGGTATAATTTTACATATAATGAAATTCACCAGTTGTAAGTGCAAAATTTGGTGAGTTTTAACAGATTTTTAGTTATGAAACCAACGCACAATGGAGATATAAAACATTTCCATCACCCCCAAGTTTGTTCATGTTCATTTGGAGACAGTCTCCTTCTTTTTATATTGCTGGATTCTGTTTGCTAATATTTTGTCAAGGATATTTATGTCTGTTTTCATGAGGAACATCATCCATAGTTTTGTTTTCTTGTAATATGTTTGGTTATGATATCAGGATAATGCTGGCCTTGTACAGTGTTGAAATATATTCCCTCTTCTATTTTCTGGAAGAATTTATGTAGAATTGGTTTTATTTTATTTTATTTTATTTTGGGGGAGAGGGGCAGAGGGAGAGGGACAAGCAGACTCTGCATTGAGCACGGAGCCTGATGCAGGGCTTAATCTCATGACCCTGAGATCATGACCTGAGCCAAAATCAAGAGTCAGACACTCAACCAACTGAGCCACCCAGGCACTGCGGTATTATTTTATTCTTAAATATTTTGTAGAATTTGCTAGTGAAACCAACAGGGCCTGGAGGTTTCCTTGACAGAAGGCTTTGTTAAACTATGAATCCAATTTCTTTAATAGATTTTGTTTTATTCATGGAATCTATTTCTTTTAGAGTGAGTTTTGTTAGTTTGTGTCACTCAAGGAATTGGTCCATTTCATATAAACTGTTGAATTTATGTTGGTGAAGTTGTTTATACTATTGCTTTATCACTTAATGTCTGTGGGATTTGTAAGTTATCTCTACTTTCTCACTTTTTTCTCTCTCATTCTGGCTAGAAGTTCATCACTTGTATTGATATTTTCAAGTGTCCAGCTTTTGGGTTTTTAAAAAATTCCTTTTGTTTTACTTTCATTGATTGCTTTCTTTATTTTTTTACTTGTTTCTGCTTGCTTTGGGTTTAATTTGCTTTCTTTTTCTGATTTCCTAAAAGACCTTTCCTCTTTCCTGATACATACATTTACTACTCTAAGTTTCCCTTTAAGCACACCTTTAAGCTGCATTCTAGGGATGCCTGGGTGGCTCAGTTAAGTGTCTGCCTTCAGCTCAGGTCATGATTCCAGGGTCCTGGGATTGAGTCCCACATCGGGCTCCTTGCTCTGCAGGGAGCCTGCTTCTCCCTCTGCCTGCCACTCCCCCCGTTTGAGCTCTCTCTCTCTTTCTGACAAGTAAATAAATAAAATCTTTAAAAAAAATTTTTAAACTGCATTCTACACATTTTCATTCAGTCTGAATATTTGATTTCTTTTGTGACATCCTCTTTGATTTGTGAGTTACTTAGAAATGTGTTGTTAAATTTACACATTTTAGGGGTTTTCAGATCTCTTCTGTTAATTAATGTATAATTTTTAATTTCTTTGTGGTCAGACATACTTTGTATGATTTCAGTTTATTTGAATTTATTGCCCTAAGTATGTTCTGGTTGAATGCTCCATGCATACTTGAAAAGAATGAGTATTCTGCTGTTATTCAGACTTCAGGTTTTCCTCTGGTATTATTTCCCTTCAGCTTGAAAAACTCCCTTTAGCATTTCTTTTAAACTAAAATAGAAAAGCCAGTTAGGGACAGGCCATAAGTTCTGTTTTACCTTCTTCATACAAATTTTTTCAAGTTTTAACACCCTCTGCAGTTTGCTTGTTTTTGTTAACTTTTCAGAGTTCTCTGGTAGTTCCTTTTGTATTTTGTTCAGTTTTCAGTTGTGGGAAAGAGAGGCTGTAGTGGGTTTCACTTATGCTAACTAGAATTACAAGTGTCTGTCTTACATCTTTTTATTCCACAATTTAGATAGAATTATTGCTTTATACCCGTCATCAGTGTTTAGATTTATCTTCATATTTACAAAAAGAAATTTTAATGCTCTAATCCTTTTTGCATCTAATGCCTTCCTTCTAGGATCATTTTCTGCCTTTTGAGGGACATCCTTTAGAAATTCTTTTACTTACAATCTACTAGGAGTAAACTCTGTTTTTATTTCATGTTTTTATTTTGCTTTTATTCCTGAAAGATGGTTTTATTGACCATTCAAATCTGGGTTGACGGTTATTTTTATGTCAGAACTTTAAAGATAACCTTTCATTGTTTTCTGACTTCCTCTTGTTTCTGCTAAGGAAGTCCTTGTCATTTTAATTGTTGTTCCCTCATAGGTGATACACCTTTTTATTATGCAATAATAGAACTTTTAAGAACTTTTTGTTTTTGGTGTTCTCTATATTTGTCCTTCCAAGATTCATTGGTCTTCTTGACTCTTAGGAGTGCTACCTAATGTATTCTCACCTATTACCCATGAAATAGTTCCTTTCCGTTATTCTCTAATATATCCTCCTAGAACAGTGATTAGATGTTGGTTGAACATTCTCACTCTATCCTTCATATCTCTTTGCTTCTCTTTCATATTTTTAATCTTTTTGTCTGTATTGCATTCTTAGTATTGAGAGACAAGCAGATCAGGTTCAAGACAGGAAATTAAAGTAAAAGCTAGTCTTGAGATCTTGAGCACTAGTGAATATTAAAGGCATGTAAAATAGAGATTATCTCTGTCACTTTTTGTAGGATTTCTTTTAGTTTAAAACCATTTTGAGGGGCGTTTGGGTGGCTCCGTTGGTTAAGAGTCTGCCTTCAGCTCAGGTCATGATCCCAGGGTTCTGGGATCAAGCTCCACGTCAGGTTCCCTGCTCAGTGGGGCGTCTGCTTCTCCCTCTCCCTCTACTCCTCCACCCCCCACCCCCTGCTCTCTCGTGCTCTCTCTCTTTCTCAAATAAATAAAATCTTAAAAATAAATAAATAAATAAAACCATTTTGACTAGTAACTTGCTTTTTAAATTCCTGCTGGTATGATGTGGATGGAACTAGATGGTATTATGCTAAGCGAAATAAGTCAATCAGAGAAAGACAATTACATATGGTTTCACTCACATGTGGAGTTTAAGAAACAAAACAGAGGATCATAGGGGAAGAGAGGAAAAAATAAAACAAGACAAAACCAGAGAGGGAGACAAACCATAAGAGACTCTTAATCATAGGAAACAAACTAAGAGTTGCTGGAGAGTAAGGGGGTAAGGGGATGGGGTAACTGGGTGATGGACATTAAAGAGGGCATGTGATTTAATGAGCACTGGATATTATATAATACTGATGAATCACAGGCCCGTACCTCTGAAACCAGTAATACATTATATGTTAATTAATTGAATTTAAATTAAAAAAAATTTTTTTAAATAAATAAATTCCTGCCAGTATTTATAAATCTAATCCTTTTCGTTTATTTTTTTAGGTCATTGTATCAATGAGTATAGCATTTGCTCAACAAACTGAACTATCTAGAATATCTAGGGAAAAAGAGGATACTACATCATCAAAACAAGCACATGCTTTCTGTCAGCAAGAACATTTAAATAAAAGGAAACTATCACAGGGTCAAACTTTTGAAGCAATGGACATGAAATTTAAAGAAGAATTTAAACCACTCAGTAAAGAGTTAAGAGAAAATGGAAAGGAAGTTCTGTATTCAAACAATGATAATCTTGATGATAAACTAGAATCGAAGGACCATGAACTGACTATTTCAGAAGAAATGTTCTCCAGAGATAAAACATTTATAGTCAGAGACCCTGTAAGTGTGCTTCTTTGTATAAGAAATTGTGACTTCCTTCACTATAAAAATATTACCAGTAATTAATATTCCCTAATGGGGAAGGAAGGTATCTAGTCTTGACTTAGGGATTAGCATTATGATTGTGTTTTATTACTTATATATGAATAAATGATTTAATATTATTATTAAATAAAACAAGTCTGGTTCATAGTATTGTTAATCTTGTACATACTGTGCATGGTAAAATCTCATTGTAAGTTATACTTGCATTAATTTTGTTTCAGTCAATTTAAGATTAATTATCCTGTAGTTTAGCAGTATGTATGAATAAAATATTTGCTTCATTTAATATGATAATAACATCACAAGGAAATAGCTACCTGTTTAAGAAGATAATTTGAAGTATTGTACTCTGTATATACTAATTCTTTTCTTCTTTACTTATCCATTAATGGAGGATCTGTTCTGTGTCTATAGCACAACTGTGTTTAACAGAAAGTAATAAATCCTACATTTAAAAATTATCTAAATTCAAATTTTTTATTAATGTTCAGGATGGGTTATGTCTTGTTTAGAGGCATATTCAAATAAAATTGTCAACTTCTTCATGAAGTGCAAAACTAAGGTATTTGTGAAAACCTCTTTAGTTTACCAGCAACTGTTCGTTTAAGTAGTAGCTCTTTGGGAATTGAAGTACTTCTGAACTTCATTAAGGAGTTGATTTCTTATGAATTTGAGAAAGTGGAATATAAAGCTTTTATTTCCAGGGCGCCTGGGTGGCTCAGTTGGTTAAGCGACTGCCTTCGGCTCAGGTCATGATCCTGGAGTCCCGGGATCGAGTCCCGCATCGGGCTCCCTGCTCAGCGGGGAGTCTGCTTCTCCCTCTGACCCTCCTCCCTCTCATGCTCTCTGTCTCTCATTCTCTCTCTCGCAAATAAATAAAATCTTTAAAAAAAAAAAAAAAAAAAGCTTTTATTTCCAAATAAAAATTAGTGAAAATTGTTTCTTATCAAGCAGTTCTCTGTAGTACTGTGATGACCACTGCATAATATAAATTAAATAGGTAAAAATTTTCACGTTTTATAAATTTAATTTTAATTTTAAATTATAAATATTCCATTTATATTATCTCCCCGTCATAAAATGTCAAGAGGAATAATGGAGTTATAGCTTCATTAAGAGCAGAAGGCATCCTGAGGATTTTTAGTCTTTCTTCTTCTTCTCTCTTAGAATCAGATTGCCTCTAAACTAACTGCTAAACAACTATTTTGCTTTTAGAAAATAACCTGTGTCATGATAATAAACTAACTTCACGCCAGACTTGGAATTACAATTAAGACAAATTTCTTTTTTTTTACTTTATTAGTTTAGTAATGGGGATAAAAAATCAGGTGCTTTGTGGGGTTAGAATTGCTTTCATATTAGTTCCTAATGATGTTGACACTGAAAAATTTCCGCGAAATGTTTTATGATTGCTGTCTTTTTTTTTTTTTTTTTAACTATTGTAGATCCATGATGAGATTTTGGTGTCAAGTATGGATGCTTCTAGACAACTAATGTTAAATGAAGAACAGTTGGAAGATATGAGGCAGGAACTTGTACGACAATACCAAGAACATCAGCAGGCAACAGAACTGTTACGGCAGGCACACATGCGCCAGATGGAGAGACAGCGAGAAGACCAGGAACAGCTACAAGAAGAGATTAAGAGACTGAATAGACAGTTAGCCCAGGTATGGGACTTAGAGTCCCTTTTCTCCCCAATTAAAATAATAGTATTCTTTATGTAGCCTTTTTTTAAAAGTCAGTATTATTGCCAACATCTGAATAAATACAAACCTTTAACATCAGGAACGGACTCCCATCAGCACAGCAGCCTTAGATCTCGTTAGGAACACCTGACCCACCCTTGGAGTGCCTTGCCTCTGTGCCATTTTATTTATCTGCCCTTTCGCCATTGGAAAAGTGGCTACAAGGTTGTTTGTATGTTTTGAATCATTCCGTTGACCATACACAACAAAAGCACTTTGACAGTTTTGGAAATTCTTTGTGCTGAGATGCAGTTGACAGTCATTTTTCCCATATTCATTTCTAGTTTTGTGAGTCCACCAATTAGCATCTCCAAGGTTTACCTTTATCTATCTATAATCTATCTTTTTAATCATGAATGGGAATCTGAAGTAGTATGTTTCTGGAACTTCCTCCGGGGAAACATCTCTTCTTGATTTGAGAAATGCAGATTTATGTAACATTCTTATCCCTTTCCTTACTCCTTGGTATTTGGGAGCTGGATTCTTATCAATTGCTGTATATAGACTCACAAAATCATTACAGAAAAGCAAGAGATATTTATATAGACGTTCCTATAAAAACAAATTTATTCCATTTATTTTGAAAACTTGGATTAAAAAAAGAAATCTTGAAATATGTTCTTTCAAATATAGAATAATAGGAAAATTGAGAGTTGAACATAAAACATATCATTTGGAAAAATTGATGTTGCTTTTCTTCATTGCATTTTGTGAATTCAAACCTCTGAATTTTCAATGCAAAATTGTCGTATAAAAATAATATTAATTGAGCTTCACCAATTCCGGAATTAGCTTTTTTAAGTTTCATATTTTGCATTGAACTTTATATATGCTTTTAACCCCTAATCATGGGATGTAACTCCTAGGTAGAAAGGGCCTCTTGGTTCCAGGGGGTTCAAAGAAATACGCTAATTATCTCTGCTTTTTTTTTTCTTCTGTCGCAAACAATATTCTCTCATGACCTTTTTTCTTATTTAGAGATCCTCAATAGATAATGAGAACCTGGTTTCAGAGAGAGAGAGGGTGCTTTTAGAGGAGCTGGAAGCACTAAAGCAGCTGTCTCTAGCTGGAAGAGAGAAGCTGTGTTGTGAGCTGCGCAACAACAGTACGCAGACACAGGTAGTATGGACTTTGGCCCACCTAGGAGCAGTGGATCAACAATGCAGTAGGCTCTGTTTGTCTTTGTTGTTGGTGTCCAATGTATTTTTTATAGGCGTTGAGCTTAATGTGTTTGTGATTGTTTACATGCAAGGTAGGTGGAGTCCTTCTATGTAAGGTAATTTGCATAGGACATTGCTATAGCAGCACCAGCTCTTTCACCAGGGAGCAGCCCAGCTAACTTGATGTCATACTAGAGCCTGCATTAGCTAGAACCCATTAAAGTTCTTTTCATCTCTGCGTTAGGTTGCCTTATCTTTTTTGATAATGCTAATCCCTTGATAAAATGTAGTTAAATGCTATTTCAAAGATTATCTCTTTTGCCTGCAGAGATTTCTGTTTCACCTCATAACAGTATAGAAGAATGACATGCTGTTTCCAAGATGACAGGTTTTCTTTCTGTTTTGTCCTCTCTGCCTTTATACAAACTTAAGCAGAATGGAGATAAAAACCAAGAGGAAATTGAAGAACAGACCTTTAAAGAAAAGGAGTCAGACAGAAAACCTGAAGATGTGCCTCCTGATATTCTGACCAATGAAAGGTATACAGAATGTGTTTGGTGGTGTTTTTTTTTTTTTTTTTTTTTTTTTGGTACAAAGGGAATTAAATAGTTGTTTCAATGTGGTAAACTTTATTTGTCCTTATTTTGATCTTGTACATTTATTTGTCCTTTTTACTGTGTATGTAAGGAACTGTCAATTTTTGATAAATAGACAAATTTATAAAAATCTTTTTTATGTAAGGTAATTTTTGTTTGGATATTGATCATGTACTTATCTCAGTAAATGATAAGGCATTATTTGATTATTGAACCTTAATTTTATTCTGCTCATATGTCATTTTTTATCCTAAAAAACATAATTGCACTTGTGAGTGTATTTCTTCAGTATATGGACATGCATTCCCCTTGCTTGTGATGAGAAAAAAAATGAAGTGTGATAGTCTAGTTAGCTTCTTTCATTCATTTACTGCATATAAGATGAGAACTTTTAATCCATATCCCACTTTTATAGAGGAATAAATTAATGATCCGATGTTAACAAAACTTCCCCTGACTTGATTTTGTAGATGTTAATATAAAAATGTAAAATATTAAATGAGAATTCACCCCCATATTAAGGACTGTAAGCAGAATATTTTAAAATTTGTTTTGTTCAAATGAAAATAATTTCTTTAATTTTAAATTAAATTAATATCTACTAACTTAATTTCCTCCTTTTCCAATTTCTGTGACTGTCAACCCTCTGTGTCCTCCTAACCTCCTTCCTCAGCTTGCATGGAGGAATTTGGCCCCTAAGATTTTGGCTTCCCCATTGGATCATCAGTATGGAACACAGTCAGTATGGAACTCAAACAAGAAAGACAGTGTATGAAAATTAGAGTTACCATGGCAATATAAAATAAACATTTTGTTTATTTTATATTATTTATCTCTAATTGGTATATTTTTAAAACTATGTAGTGTTTAATTTTTAGGAATTTTTGCAGTGAGTGCTAATAAATGAGTATTCATATTTATTTCTCTTTACCATCGTATTAATTTTAATCATTTCTCTTATTTATAAATATTTTTTTAAAAGATTTTATTTTTTTTATTTGACAGAGAGACACGGTGAGAGAGGGAACACAAGCAGGGGGAGTGGGAGAGGGAGAAGTAGGCTTCTTGCGAGGCAGGGAGCCTGATGCAGGGCTCGATCTCAGGACCCTGGGATCATGACCTGAGCCGAAGGCAGACGCTTAACGACTGAGCCACCCAGGTGCCCCTAGAAATATTTTCAAATTATCCTAATCCTGAGGTGTTTGGGGCTTGAACAAAACCTAAGAAAAAATTAAATAAAACCCTTAACTGACTTACTACTAACTAAATTACTTAGAGTTTTATTTTTAATGTCCTGGTCTCATGTAAGCAGAGAACTTGATCTAGGTACAAAAATAGAACTCTCTCTTTCACTGGACAAATACTGAAGGAAAACTTGTCCGTTTATTACCTTGTCTTAAAATAGTTATGTCATGTGCCTGTGAAAACAGATATCCTTTAACCTGATTGTTGGTGATCTCCCACAGTGTGAAGTTGAGAGAGCAAACTGTGTCTTAAGGCGGAGGACCTTTACCATAAAAGTCTCTTATTTTATATTAAATATAAAGTTTGCCACTATAGTACTCTTATTGAATTAAGCTATTAGGACAACAGAATTGTATAGTTATTCAGAAGATTAATCAGATAATCTTCTGAATCAGCATTTATGGGAGTATATTTCTTGACATGAAAAGATGTTTGTGTTAAGCAAAAAACAAAAAAAACTTACAAAAACTTTGCTCTGGATAATTCCATTTTTGTTTTTTAAAATGTATATATTTATGAGGTGGAGGGGAAGCCTAGAAAAATAGATCTTAAAATGTTAACAGTGATTATTTTTGCTGAGATATTTAGGTGGGTGGTTAGCACTGTTTTCTAGTTTTTTTTTTTTGCAAATGAAAATGACATCTTTTTAAAAAGACAGATGCACTATTAATTCCATTTGGTTGAAAATAAGTTCCTTCTGGCTGAAATGAATGTGGTTTATGTAACTTGAGCAATTTCTGTCTCTGGAGCAGATATAATAAAGAATGTCCTATGATATTCCCTCTGGTGCTGGCAGATAGTGATATTGCACAACAGACCTTTTTAAAAATAGGTCTCTGCCTGTTTTTGTAATTTAATTATCTAGATTATCACCAGGAAGTTGTAGAAATATGCATTTTTCTGGTGGAATTTTTAAGTTATATTGTTTGACACATAAAAAGATTAAATGTGATTTTCTTCCAAGTTAGAAACTTTACTAACCTAAAACTTATAGGATTTATTTAAGGTCAGTAAAGTATTGCACATTTGTAAAAAAATGTTATAGTTTATTGATGGACCAAAATCTTTTTAGAAGAAAACAAATTTTATAATGTAATTCTTAAATAAAAAACAAAAGCACTTCATTTTAAGTGCGATTGCATATTATTTCAGTAGAGAGGGTCGTATAATATTTTTCAAGTCAGATTTTTTGTGGGACATAAGCTAAGTGTTTGCTTCAGAAAGATTAAGCATTTTAATAAATGTTTCTTTATCTATACAGGTTTGCACTCCAGAAAGCTAATAACAGACTTCTGAAGATTCTCTTAGAAGTTGTGAAGACAACAGCAGCTGTTGAAGAAACAATTGGTCGCCATGTTCTTGGTATTCTAGACAGATCTAGTAAGGTCCAGTCATCTGCCAGCTTGATTTGGAGATCAGAAGCAGAGGCACCTATAAAGTCAAATATCCATGAGGAACACACAGGAGGTACTAGTTTGAGACTATCATCATTATCGTCAATAAATCTTTCTTAGTTCAAGGCAGTTTTGCTATGTGTTGAAAATACAGAAGAGACAATATTGAAGTTTTTTCCAACAAGAAAATCTTGAGACACAAATACTTTGGAGCCAGTATTCTCAAAACACCATTATTGTTTAGCAGTTGCAAGTGGGTATCTTGGAGTTGTTGTTGTACATACTCAGGGTTTTAACTACTTTGCTATATAAACCAGAGACTGTTTAATTTCTCCACCATAAAAGAAAAATTCCACATCACTTCTCAGGACACTTACCAGTATCCATGAGGTATTGGCAACATCCTGAAATCACCCTAAAGATTAGAAATAAAGAGCTTTTAAGAATCAAGCATCAGTTTCACATATCTGTTGAGGTGGTTAGAAGAAAGTCTTGATAAGAAACCCAAGACTTGATCTTTAGACTATCCTCTGCTAGCTCCTTTCTTCCTTTCGGAAAAGTGGTTTGAAGTATGACAGAATATGTGTGGATCCACAGGTTAGATCCTGACATGACGTAGCTCTCTTCCTAATTCTCTCTTCTTCCAGCTGTGTGGGCTGGGCTCTTCTTTGAATTTCTTGCTTTCACGCTGCTGACGTCTACCCTCTTGTTTTTTAATTCCTTGTTGATGAGGAAATCAGGCAATCAAAAGGTGAGAAAGTTTGTCAGATGGAGAAAGATAGGGTCTGGACTCTTGGATCAACAGATCAAGTCCCTGCTTTACTACCATTCCACACCCAAGCATTTCTCTCCAGTTAGAGGCCAACCTTCTAAAAATGCCAATATTTGCAGTGTTTGAGAGCATTCTGTTTAAGTTTCAAGTGGAGAAATGAGAAGAAATTATCCCACTTACAGAAGGTTTACCTAATTGCAAGTTGGCCAGTAGTCTGTTTCCAAGTGCAGAGAAAAGCTTGATTTGGAATTGTAAGTAAAACTCCCTCAGTTAAGTACAAAGATAATTTTAAAAACCTCTTGGGGTGCCTGGGTGGTGCAGTCGGTTGAGCATCCAACTCTTGGTTTTGGCTCAGGTTGTGATCTTAGGGTCATGAGATCGAGCCTTGCATTAAGCTCCACCCTTAGCATGGAGTCTGCTTTGAGTTTCTCTCTCCCTCTCCCTCTGCCCCTCCCACTTGTGCTCTCTCTCTCTCTCCCTCTAAAATGAGTAAATAAATCTTAAAAAGTTTTTGGAGAAAAAAAAACCCTTTTAATAAAATAAGAGCTGAAAAAATAACTGAATTTTTAAACTTTCAAATTCATCTTTTCAAACTTTATAGAAGTATTTTGTCAAATTAACTTCACTCTCTGTTAAGCTCTCAATCAAGGGCTATTTTATTTCTACATACAGATCTTGATGTATAGAAAAGAATTAAGTAATACTTTCTTGGTCTTATTGTAGAAGTGTTTATCAAACTAATTAGGATGACCACTAATACCATTTGGGGACACCTAGATACACATTTTGTATCTTGGAGGAAATACTGAATTAATAGAATTTATCATTTAAAACTGAATTTTCTGATAAACTTTGAAGAATATATTGGCTTAAAAAAAATTGACACTGCTCCATTTATAAGAATTTTTTCTGATGTTCCTTCATATTTTTTCATGGAGCCTTATTGTAAAAACTAAAGGAACTTTTGAAATATTTCTTTTATGTCTTATTTAATATGACAGAAAAAGTTCAGTCTTATTCTGATTATGAAACATTTGCTTTTCAGTTTTTATATATGACTTTTTATTGTCGGTAGTAGTACTTGTGATCTATTTTCAGCTTTCAAGTCCAAACTTGTTTAGATTTTATGCATGTGTGGATTTGTTAACTCTCTAAAGTAAATAATTGATTTGCTAATGTGTGCCTCCTCATAAGAATAACCTCGTTTATGAAACTAAAGGGAGATTTTGAGCCAGTGTGAAATTATGTTGAACTTGAGTGAATATTAAAGTAGTTCAGGGCGCCTGGGTGGCTCAGTTGGTTGGGCGGCTGCCTTCGGCTCAGGTCATGATCCTGGAGTCCCTGGATCGAGTCCCACATCGGGCTCCCTGCTCGGCGGGGAATCTGCTTCTCCCTCTGACCCTCCCCCCTCTCATGTGTTCTCTCTCATTCTCTCTCTCTCTCAAATAAATAAATAAAATCTAAGATAAAGTAGTTCATAACAATGAGATCTCCTAGGATATGTTGAAAGAAAAGTTCTTTGAGGCCTGCACTGTGATGGCTCAGTGGTAGAATGCTTACCTCTGTTACTTTTGTAATAGGAAAATCAATAAAGTTAATACATTTTTTAAATCCTAAAGGAAGGTGACATCGAACTTAACCATTGACAATAGTGTGCTTCTTGCTAGACTGACCCCCTTGGGAAGCCTTCCACTTTCAGGGGAAACTAAAGTATGTGAATACCTCCTGGGAAACTGCCTTTAGGACCATCAGCCCAACCTTCCAATCTCCTCAATGACTGCATATCTTAAATATTCCTATTGTTTCTAGGATAAAGGCCAAATGTCTATAGCCAACAGTAGTTATTTCCTAGAATACTCTTTAATGCTGCTTCCTCAGAGAGGTCCTCCTTGACCACTCTATCTCATTTAGTCCCTCCTCATTTTCCCCAATGACCAAGCACTGAATCTCATCTGCTGCAGTGTCCTTTTGGAGTAGTGTGATGTGATAGAAAGAATGCTGGGTTAGTAATCTAACCAGGCTCTTGATTCTTACTCTAGCTCTCTGCAACTCTGGGCAGATCAGTCTCCCAGGGCTTCAGTTCACTTTACTCATCTGTCAGGTATAAGAAGCAAAGTAGTCAGTGGTTTCCATTTGGAGCTTTAGAGATCAGAAGGCCATTGGGCTAGGGAATGCTCTGTCGAATCACCTACCCTGCTTAATCTGGGAAGATAAGGAATGAACATGGTATAAATCCATAAAGTAAATGACTAAAGGACTTTTGAATAACCATCATCTGCTGTGTTTAAGACACATATCTGAGTGCTTCACCAATGTGAAATCATGAGTCTCTTCACCAAACTGACAATTCCGAGATTTCTGTTGGCATTTTATGAAATTGCCCTGCCAATTTATGTTTTTGTCTGGTTTTTTCCCCAAAGACTAGTTATTATAAATACAGTGTAACCTTGATGTCTTTTTCATTCTTTTATTTCATTGGAATAAGCAACAATAGAAGTTCTATTTCTTCATTGGAACGTATTCACATTATTTTTGTTTGTATCTTCAAAATGTTACCAATAAGATACATTAAGCTAGTTGACATCTTCACCTTTTCTAGATACTTTAATATATATTTTTTCATTAACATTTGAAAAAATTTCAGTGGCTTTTTATAAGCCATTTTGTTTTATGTATCTTTCGTAGTTTGTGCTTGAGATTTGTTCTCACGCAATATACAGTATCTTTAATTCTTTTCCCTCAGCATTGATTTCTTTTTTCCCCAAAGCATGTTGATATCTTCATAATATGGGGGGGCGGGGGAAGTGTGTTCATTTTTCTTAACTTTGCTCCTCACTCAAGGTAAACCTTGACCAACTCAATGAGAGATTAGACCAACTCCTACTTTTACCAGCTTTGGTTTCTCTTCCTACAGTACCACAGCTGTTCTCTCTGGACAACAGTGACTTCCCAGTTGTCAAATCCGATAGCATCTTCTCAGTCCTTGTCCTGTTTGAGTGTCTAAACAAATAACATTACTGACATCTCTGCCTTTTATGAAATGTTCTCTTGTCTCCTGGAACATCTTCTGTCTTTCTGTGACTTTTTTTTCCACACAGGTTCTTTTGTTAGTTTATATTATGGAGGCGCCAACTATGTTTGTCCTCCTTCTCTCCTGAAACAGGAAAGCAATTGTTTACTGCTCATAAAATAAATGTATCCACTTTCAGGATTTCGACTCTCACCTTAATACAAATGACTTCTAAGGCACTGCAGACCGAAATTTCTAAGAGTTGACTCATCTTCTCTACCTAGTCCATTAACACTTCCAACTTCATTTTTCATGCCTGCTCTATACACTTTCTCCTGATTTTTAAAGTATTTCTCTTAATCACTCTTCTGTCACCTAAGAATGATTTATGCTTAAACCCCAGAGTCATCTTTTACTACTTTCTTTCTCCCTTGTCTTATATATTTAGTCTTCTCCGACCTGTCCCCAGCCCGCCACCTTTCAACACTTCTCACCTAGGCTATTGAAATACTCTTCTTTTTTTTTTTTTTTTAAGATTTATTTATTTATTTGAGAGAGAGCTCACAGATGGAGAGGGAGAAGCAGACTCCCTGCTGAGCAGGGAGCCTGACACGGGGCTCGATCCCAGTACCCTGGGATCATGACCTGAGCCGAAGGCAGACACTTAACCGATTGAGCCACCCAGGTGCCTGGATTGAAATAGTCTTCTAACCTGTCTCTTCTTCAGCCCTTTTTCTGCATTGCTGCAGTTTATTTCCTGATTCCTAGATTTTATATCTTCCTGTTCAAAAAATCATTTACTACCCATTATTTATAGCAAAACCCCAAGGTTCCTATAAAAGTTAAAACCATTCACAGCCTCCTTTCCAGCTACTTTCTTTTAGCTCCAGCTACCTTCTTTTAGCTCTCCTCCCACCCCATCCTAACTTCTCCACATACTTTCACCCCGTAAAGCCTTGGCTCCGCATTGTATCAAACTATTCTCTTTCCTCAGGTTTGTCAAATTGTCTGTATTTATTAGAAAGAAAAGGTCACTAGAATGCATTTAATTTTAAAGATGCTATATAACATATATTTTTAGTTTAAACACCAATTATAAAGTTAGTATTTCTTCCATAGCTTCTTCAAAAATATTTATTTTCTAGACTACATTCATTTTGTTTAGTAACTTTGTAATATATACATTGTATTATACTTGATATGAATTCATTTTGAATTCCAAGATCCTTTTGAACTCATGAATACTTACGAAGTATTAATCCCTATTACCAAGACATTCAGTTTTGAATACATGGAATAATATAAGTAAATATTAGTCTGGTTGCTGTCTGTTTTTAAGTGTTGAGAATAAAAATACAAAGTGAAAATTGTATTAGCTGTTACACTAATAACAGCTGCAGTAATAAAAACTGCATTCCAGTTGCAGTAACTTACTGCAACTGGAATGCAGTTTTGGATTCTCTAGCCGTGACTTGTACAGAGGAGGTACTCAGTGAATATTGAATGTGCTGCATTCAGATCTTTACCTGATATTGTTAATACATGAGATTGAGAGAAATACATGGCACCAGCTACTTTAGCTTAGCTAGACATTTTAATAAATAGCTCCTCTTCTCCTGGATGACTAGATCAAAATGAATATCCTTTTTTTTTGTTTTAAAGATTTTATTTATTTGACAGAGAGAGTCACAGCGAGAGAGGGAACACAAGCAGCGGGAGTGGGAGAGGGAGAAGCAGGCTTCCTGCGGAGCAGGGAGCCGGACGTGGGGCTCAATCCCAGGACCCTGGGATCATGACCTGAGCCGAAGGCAGATGCTTAATGACTGAGCCACCCGGGCGCCCCTCAAAATGAATATTCTGAGTTCTTTGGAAATTAAAGTTTGCTGTTAATTTGTTCACTTTCTGATAAGTTACTGATAAGAAATAAGCACTACATGTAATAAAAGCATAGGTCATTCCTCTTCAGGATATTTCATTGTTGGGTTGTAGTATGCTGCCACAGATGAATACCGTATTCCATGACAGCAATAAATAAGCTATGCTTTTATTTCAGTTTAGAGAAAACACTTCCAAAGCTTATTCTCTGCTCATGTAAACTCAGTTTTTTTTTAAATAAAAAATCAGAATAGTGTGGATACATACATTCATAGTTAAATTAGTACTGCTCATCAGTCTATTAACCTCTTTGTAATATACCTCTTACAAAATTTCAGGCTGCAAAATGGTCTTAGTCCCTTTTACTGTCTGGCCTGAGCTTGTGATGCTACCCAGTATAGTGCTCAGAAATCAGAGGATCTGTGGAGCGCCTGGGGGGCTCAGTCAGTTAAGCATTCGACTCCCAACTCTTGGTTTCAGCTCAGGTCATAATCTTGAGGTCCTGGGATCAAGCCCCGCGTTGGGCTCCATGCTCAGCAGGGAGCCTGTCTAAGGATTCCCTCCCCCACCTGTCCTTCCCCCTGCTTGCTTGCTTGCCCTCTCTCTCTCTCTCCCAAATAAATAACTCTTTTAAAAAAAATCAGAGGATCTGTTCTAGACAAAATCTAGCACTTCTTCTATCCTTCCATATACCTGGAATATCCCATTGCACAGTGTTTTTCTTTTCATATCATTGATGTATTTATTTTCTCATTATACAGTACTTGAGCATAGGAACCAGATCCCACCACTTATGTGTCTCTATTACTTAGTAAATCCTGCACGGTGGGCACTTAGTAAATATCTGTTGGAAGTTGTTTTAAAAGTTTTTATCAAAGAGGGGTGCCTGGGTTTCTCAGTTGGTTCGGCGTCCGACTCTTGATTTCGGCTCGGGTCATGAGATTGAGCCCTGCATAGGGCTCCGCACTCAGCAGGGAGTCTGCTTGAGATTTTCTCCCTCTCTCCCCTTGCCCCTTCCTCCTTTGTGTGCATGTGCGTGTGCTCTTGCTCTCTCTCTAAAATAAATAAGTAAATCTTAAAAAAAAAAAAAAAAAAGGTTTTTGTCAAAGAAAAATTACTGAATAACCCAAGTATTAATTTCTGCAAAGCCCTCTTAGCACAGCATTATCCTTCTCATTCTGCCTGCTTGGTTATCAAATAATATTACATTCTGTATTTCCCTATTTGTTATATTGCAGTGTTGTTATTAAAAGGCCTTAACAAAAGACCTGTAGTTCAATGATTTCAGCTTTTAACTGATTTTATTTTGTAACTTTTTTTTACTGTAACTATTATTATAATAGATTTATGCCTTTAAAATACTGTTATTCCAGGGCGCCTGGGTGGCTCAGTTGGTTGGGCGACTGCCTTCGGCTCAGGTCATGATCCTGGAGTCCCAGGATTGAGTCCCGCATCGGGCTCCCTGCTCGGCAGGGAGTCTGCTTCTCCCTCTGACCCTCCCCCCTCTCATGCTCTCTCTCTATCTCATTCTCTCTCAAATGAATAAATAAAATCTTTAAAAAAAAATAAAAAAAATAAAAAAAATAAAATACTGTTATTCCAGTTACAGATGAATCTATACCCTCTTATTCTGGAAGTGATATGCCAAGAAAAGACAGTAGTATGTGGTCAAAAGTAACTGAAGAAGGGACAGATCTCTCAGAACGGCTTGTGAGGAGTGGTTTTGCTGGAACTGAAATAGACCCTGAAAATGAAGAACTTATGCTGAGTATCAGCTCTCGACTACAAGCAGCAGTTGAGAAACTCTTAGAAGCTATAAGTGAAACCAGCAGTCAGGTAACCTCCTTATGTTGCTAATCTGTACTACATTTGTAGGTTTTCTTTTAAGCCAGTGAACAACTAAGTGTTTTCTCTCTATTGTCTCACAGAAATTTAGTCATGTTCCTCTTTATAAATGGTTGGATTTGTAACAACCAATACTGATATCAACAGGTTTCTTTTCAGGTGGTAAGTGTTAATGTCTTGACGGACTCTTCAGGTTCTAAAATTCAGTGTTTTAATTTTAAAATTTCCTAGACTCTTACACATTACTTTTTTTTTATATCAAAAGAGATTTTAACTTTATCATTGACTGAAATATTCCGTTATAATATATGTTATTTATTTGAAGGAATAATACAAGGAATATCTTAAACCATATGCTCTAGTATGTCCTAACACACTGCTATTGTAATATGATAACAAATCAAACCTACAGTCCTTCACAGAAAACATCCTTTTCATGAATGTTAATAGATTACCTCACTTTACTCTCTCTTGGTAGGGTTAGATGAGGGATACTTTCTACATCGAAGTACTGTTTTTATAGAAATTTTAAAGGGGTATAATCATTTATAACCTAAAATGCAATTTTCTCTGTCTCTAACATTTTTACACTAGTATGGTAAATGTCTCTTAAGTTACTGTATGTAGAATTTAAATAATTGTTGCTTTAAAATGAAGCAAATTCACTTATTTATTTTAAAAATGTTTAAAACAACTGTAGAATCATAGCTGTATGTTAATCAAGTGAGTACTCCATTGTCATCAGTTACAGGGCCAATATTATTAACATTTTCATTGATACCTTTATTCACAGTATCCTAAATCCATCTGTATTTCAGACAGAAGTTGAGAAGTTGAAAGAGTGTCTTTGATGTCTTGTTATTTCTAATGTCTGGCTTTCATTGATGCTACTTTTTTTCCTCTAAGAAATTATTCTGTTATGGAATCTTTTTGCAATAGCAGTGACTATTGGATTTACCATATTTGACAAATACTGTTATATATTTTGTGTTTTAATGCCAAATTCAATTACTTTTAGGTTAAGTTAGTGATTGAGTCCTCTCTTGGTTAGTGACCCTTGAAATCACTTGTTAACCACCTACTATTAAGTTAATTTTTCATTATCAATCCATTTTTTTTTCCTCTTGGCAACTTGCTATTGGCATTTAACATAGACGGCATTATCAAAACAGCATATATGTCCAGTGAAATATTTGTCTTCTGGATAGTCTTCAGACAACGAGTTTTCCCCAGGTTCATTCTTCCTTGTAGGGAGACAGTTTAAATTCTCTTCTGTGCTAGAGTGGGGACTGTATCTTTAAGAGCACATTACCACACATTGCAATAATTCACTATCTGGCCAGCAGAATATATCACAATATACCTACTGTTAATTTTCTGAATTGTACCTTGATTGACTAGCCAAACTAAGGTATTCATATTCAGTTAAATATGTTTCAGAAATGTTTTCATAGATAAAGTGCTGTCTTTGGGCAATTCTTATTTCTCTGAAGCTTTCTTTTACAGCAGGTGCAAAATGATTGAAAGGCTTTTGCTTCAGTTACTTAAAGATTTCCTTGAGCGTTGTAAAGAACTAAAAGAAGTACAGTATTTTTGAAAACTCACATCTTTGTGTATTTACTAATACACAATAGAAAGGATAACTACACAAATAATAATAGTAGTCTCATCTTTTGCTAAAACCACAGTGAGTTATTTTTCATTGCCAACATCCTAAGTGCTGGTAGGAAAGGCAGCAATAAAAACCAGCTTCATTTGCGTTATTAATTTAAGACATTATACTCTTGGATCAAAGAACTTTAATGTTTACCATATTTTTCTTCAGCCTCAGGTAGACAGCTTAAGCTCAAACATTGCAACTATGAATGCTATGTCATAATATGAAATTCCATAGCTATTATAAGAAAACACATATTTTTCTATAAGATTTGCTATTTTTTCAAGTTTTTACTTTTCTAATTAACATAAGCCCTGGATTGGCTTTCTTTTAGAATGCTTACACATAAGCCACTTTAACAGTATGCTACTCTACTGAGTGAGCTGGGCCAATTCAGGCATTTTCAGCTGTTGCTTTTCAGCACTTTTAAAGTTTGAATGCATATGCATCCTAGTTATCCCTTTTATTCTATGAAAGTAGTGTAAATAATTCTGTATGGAGTCTCAACATAATCCTGCCTTTTTTTTTTTTTTTTGCTTATTTCAGCTACATTAGTATTTAATTTCTGTGATTTGTACTCTTTCCTACCATGAAAAAACTAGTAGTATTTTTCCTTTCTTAGCCACTATTAAATACTTTGATCTGGATCTTGAACGCTGTTAATACTGTTTGCTGCTACTTGATACCATCGTTAAGTTACAGTCTAGTTAATGCAGTGTAGTTGACCTTTGAACAGTACAACTAAAGTATGCCGCTCCATTTATATGCAGATGTTTTTCAATATATACAGTACAGTACTGTAAATGCATTTTCTCTTTATGATTTTCTTAATGCCATTTTCTTGTTTTAGCTTACTTTATTGTAAGAATACAGTATATAATACGTAATCCATATAACATATAAAATATGTGTTAATCGACTGTTATGGCATCAGGCTTCTGGTCAACAGTAGGCTATTAGTAGTTAAGTTTTGGGAGAGTCAAAAGTTCTGTGGATTTTTTTTTTTTTTAAAGATTTTATTGATTTATTTGACAGAGAGAGAGATAGCAAGAGCAGGAACACAAGCAGGGAGAGTGGGAGAGGGAGAAGCAGGCTTCCTGCCGAGCAGGGAGCTCGATGTGGGGCTCGATCCCAGGACCCTGGGATCATGACCTGAGCCGAAGGCAGACGCTTAACTACTGAGCCACCCAGGCGCCCAGTTCTGTGGATTTTTGACTGTGCATGGGGTCAGCACCCCAACCCCTGCATTGTTCAAGGGTCAACTGTATAATATTTGTCTTCTGACAAGCACCATGGAAAATGGTAAATAAATCAGAAGTGATCCATGGTTTGACTTATTCCTGTAGGCTACTATAGAGAAACTTCCCCCAAAATCCATTAATACTGCCAACAGATAAGTGTGTGGAATCCACCTGAAACACTCATTTTCCCCAGGCCAAGATCACACCTCATCACATCTGCTTGTGTGACCAGGTTTTGAGGTACAACAGGAGCCTGACCATGGCATTTTCCAAATTATTCTCAATTTGTTAAATACTAATATAGCAATATGTTATTTAGCTTTTACTGTATTTTAAGTATCAAAGAACAGGTCACAAAAACTTTGCCTAGAGCACTAAACAGTTTTCATACTGCAGTCTCTAAACCAGCAGCATCAGCATCACTGAGGACTTGTAAATTTAAATTCTCACTCCCCACCCCAGACCTACTGAATGATGGAGCCCAGCAACCTGGGTTTAAACGGGTTCCTTAGGTGATTCTGGTACACACTGAAGTTTGAGAACCACTCATCTAGAGATTATTAGTACATGTTCACATTATTCTAGCTGAATTTTGAAGTGTTCTACCAATATCTTGGATAAAAGGTTAAAGTGGTTGTTGCCTTTTGGTATAAAAATCAGGTATATCTTAGGTGAATTGTATTTTTAAAGTAACGAGAATAGGAGTCTGTAAAACTTTCTTTTAATCCAAATTTAGTTCACCTACTACTCTTCCATGGATAGATGTTTAAAGCCATTGACTGCTTCAGAATATTCTCATTAATAACTAAAATTATCTTGAACATGATAAATATCTTTAACAGTTCATTAGATTGATACAAAACAATGTGTAATCACCTCTGTGAAATAACTTATATTCCATTTTTATTTTAATGTGTCATTATTTGGTTCTTCATAATGGTATAGTTCTCTTTTACCTTGATTTTTTTTTCACTTGTTACAAAAACTAGAACAGAACTGAGAGACACTGCTATAGTCTATTTGTGCTTGCAGTGACAGAGAAGTTCAGCTAAGTAGCTCTGCACAGCATACCCTGAGACTAGGAAAGAGAGTAGCATCTCATACTTTGGAGTCAGGTGGGCCCAAGTAAAGCTTATTGGAAGACTTGATGCTTGAGATGAATCATTCATTCATCATATTTATTGAGCACCTACTATATAATAATTGCTATTTTACATACCAGAAGTACAGCATTGAACAAAATAGACAAAATCCTTGCTCTTGTAGAGACCAACAATATGTAAACATACAGTATGTCAGGTGGTGATTATCTGCTGGGAAGAAAAATGAAATGGAGATAGAGCATAATGGGGGAAGGGGACATGTTTATAGGAAAATCAAGGAAGACCCCTCTGATGAAGTAATATTCAAGCATATTTCTTGAGGAAGATTAGGAGAGACAGTCATATAAGTAAGTAGGGGAAGAATGTTTTAGACAAAGGACTAACAAGTGTGAAGGCCCTGAGGTGGTTGAGTGCTTGTTCTTTGTGTGGCTGAGAAAGAGGCCAGTGTGGCTGGAGCAAGGAGAGTGAGGAAAGTGGGAGATGAGGTCAAAGTGCTACCTGGAAACCAGATCACATAGAACTTGGGATTTAATTCCTAATGAGAAATGGAGCCATTGTGTACAACTTTTTAACTTTTTATTTTGAAATAATTTTAGAGAAAAGTTGTAAAATAGTCCAGAGTTTCACTCAACTTCCCCTAATGTTAACAGCTTGCATAATCGTATTATAATTATCAAAACTTGGAAAGTAAAACTGTTACAATACTATAAACTGAAGTACAGACCCTTTGGATTTCACCATTTTTTCCCACTAAGGTCCTTTTCCTGTTCTAGGGTCCCATGTTGCCTTTAGTTGTCATGTTTTTGTCAGCTCTCTTCTCCTCTTCATTTAGTACCTGAGTCTTTGTCTTTTATGACCTTGACACTTGAAAAGGAGTGGCTAGTTATTTTATAGAGTGCCCCACCATTTGGATTTGTCTGATATTTTTTCATGATTACAGGAAGCTTATGTGTTTTTGACAAGAATACCACAAAAGTGATGTGCCCTTCT